TTGATCAAATTCTAACAGAAGAAGAAGAGTTGGGAAAATTGTACTATGAGCATGAAGAAAATATGCAAGATCTAGGCTTGGAGGACTATGGATCTGAAGATGAGAACATGCAAGACACACAAGGAGAAGAACATGCCCAGCAAAACACACAAGCTGAGGCTGATTCCCTAGAAATGGAACAACCAATTGAACATGGGGCTCAACTTACACAAAGAAAGCAACTCACCATGCAACAGAAAAGACAAATTGTTGATGCAATGTTGGTCAAAATGCATGAGGGGAACTTACCAAGGGGTCACATGAAACATTTATCAGTTCAATTCAATGTTTACAAATCAACCATCACAAGAATATTCACAGACATAAAAAAAACAGATGGCACATGGGAATTTGATTGATGTCAGGACTAAGAAGTATGGTAGAGCAGGTTGAAAGCCAAAGGAATTTTTTGATGAATTCCTACAGTCAGTCCCTTTGCATTTAAGGCAGACAGAAAGGAGTTATGCAGCAGCATTGAAGATCTCTCATGTTACTCTTCACAATCTGAAGAAAAAGGGAAGGCTAAGAACACACACATGCAACAACAAGCAAGCATTGTCATCAGACCACAAGGTAGCTAGACTCAAGTGGGTTTTGTCACATAATAATCCAATTACAGGTAATGAGGACCCCACATTTGTTGATATGAACCATGTCATACACATGGATGAGAAATGGTTCTATCTGAACCCTGATAAGAGGAGGTTTTATCTCCTACCAAGTGAGGAAGATCCATACATGGCAATACAGTCCAAAAGATTCAAGCTCAAGGCAATGTTTATGGCCTTAATTGGGAAGCCATTGTATGACACAAATAGGGAAATACTCTATGATGGGAAGTGTGGCATATTCCCATTCACTGTCAAACAACTAGCAAAGAAATCCAGCAAAAACAGAGATGCAGGAACTTGGGAAACAAAGGCAATCCAGAATGTAAACAAAGAGGTGATTAGAGATATGTTGCTGACAAATGTCATACCAGCAATTATCTCAAAGTGGCCTGAGAGTCTAGCCAAAAATGTTGTCATCCAATGGGACAATGCAAGGCCTCACCAAGTTCCTAAGGATGCAGAGTTTATGGCAGCAACAACAGCACATGGGTTCAACATTCAATTTGTTTATCAGCCAGCACAGTCACCAGATTTGAATGTGCTTGATTTAGGGTTATTTAGGTCTATGCAATCTTTGCAATATCAGTCTTTCCTAGCAACCTAGATGAGCTAGTTACAAAAGTGATGGACTCTTATGGCACATTCAATCCTCAAGTGAACAAGTACATTTGGCTGACTTTGCAAAAGTGCATGATAAAGATCCTCCAGAAGGTGGGAACAAGTACAAAATACCCCACATGAACAAAAAAAAACTTGAAAATCTTGGCATTCTGCCAAATCAAGTAGAAGTGCAGAAGGAAGTAGTTATGGAGGCTGTGGAATACCTAAACACTATGTTTAGGCCAGCAATTCAAGGGAATGAACAAGCAACATAAGATGTGGAGGTAGATGTAGACTAGGGGACTCAACACAACAATGGAGAAACACATGGACTGCCACACATAACCACTTAGCTCTGGTAAGGTTTATATATATATATATACATATATATATATATATATATATATATATATATATATATATATATTCACTTATTAGGTGGTTAGGTGTATTTTGTTGAATACAGTGATGCAAACATGTTAGGCAGTCTTATGTAAAGGCTTTTGTTGAAGGTATAGTCCTTTGTACCCACATTTTGAATGGAATAGAAATGGAAAAGAAACAGATGTTATGTGGGCATTCAATCCATCAGAAGCTTTGTATGTCATAGTTGAATACAACACTAAGTCACAATGTTACCTCAACAACAACAACATTAAATCAATTGTTGGAGCAAAACATTTGTGTGTAGTGAAATTTAATGGAGTCCCTTCATCATATGGATTTGGATAATGTAAACAGCACAGTAGCATGGGGGACTCAATACAAATTAGGTTACAACAGATATTCAAAGGGAACTCCTTTAAAAAATGTGTAAAAACAGTAAGGGGCTGTCATGTGTTCTCTACCCAAATGATCAATGAGAACATTTTAAGGTATAACCATGCCAACTTAAAAAAATAAATGACACAACAGCCTCATCATTTGTCAATCACACCCCCATATGCACCAAATGTCATTTTGGCTACACCAACCCAACCATCCATCAATCACAACATGCAGCATGAAGCAACAACAAGCCAACAGAATCAATCAAACCAAACCTATAATAATCCAACCAGCAAACATATTCCTTCACAGCAAGGCTACAACAACTAGCCAACATTCAACAACAATTACCAGGCCAACATTCAACAGCACATTCCAACAACAATTACCAGGCTACAAGAACTAGCCAACATTCAACAACAATTACCATGCCAACATTTAACAGCACATTCCAACAACAATTACCAGACTACAAGAACTAGCCAACATTCAACAACAATTACCAGGCCAACATTCAACAACACATTCCAGCAGTAATTACAAGGCTACAAGAACTAGCCTACATTCAACAACAATTACCAGGCCAGCATATTCCAACAAGGCAACATATCAGAAAATATCGCCAACACATACATGGAGCCAACATAATCCAAAACAGCAAACATAGCCAACCATCCAAAAGATCAAACAATTAAAAATAAGCAACGAAGCTAACATGCATCCAAATCAAATCAGAAATAAGCAACCAAGCCAACATGCATCCAGATCAAATCAGAAATAAGAAACCAAGCCAACATGCATCCAGATCAAATCAGAAATAAGCAACGAAGCCAACAAGCAACCAGATCTAATCACCATACTATCAAAAAAATCAATGGACAGGGACTAAAAAAAATGAAATAATGTAGGGTTAGGAATCGTTATGCAAGCAGTTACTTGGAGGGTTGAACCTTTGGGTTCATCCGCCTCGCAGAGTGCTTCAAATGAGGGCCCTGCACTTCACCATCTTCATCTGGAACACAAGCCTTCTTTGAAGGAGGTGTTGAACCCTCCTCATTTTCAGGCTCATCATTAGAAGACAGAACGATCAACGCCTAATCTGGTAACCCACGCATCCGCCTCAGAGCCACCAATGCTGCCTTCCTTCTAGCCCTGATCTTCATGGGTGACCTAGCCCTATTAGATATGGGATTATTGGTGGGCACAAAACTCCCCTCACCACTATCACATACCGGATCTACAGATACAACACTGAAATCAAGCAATTTCTTGCCATGGGACTCCCCCTCACCCTCAGCCCTCTTGAGACGCTCCTCCTCCTCAACACTTTCAAGAACCTTACCCAAAGCCTTGTGGGTGGTCAACGAACAGTAACGACCAGCATCACCAGACTCGTAGAATTGGCAAGGAAAAGGAGATCCGATGTCGAAAGATTGAATCAGGGACATAATCAAATTACCCTCACCGACGTCGTCGGTGGCAATGAAAGCGTCGTGAAGTGGATCGAGGTTAACCATGTTAGTGGGGGTTTTGGTTTTTGCAAGTTTTGAGGTATCAAGGTAAGATCTAAGGAGTAAAATTGGAGAAAATTAGGGACGAACAGGAGAGAGAAAGACGAGGAAGATGAACTAGGGTTCATCTGAGGAAGTCTCCAGAACATAAAAGGAAGCCCAACCATTAGAAACAGAGTTCTGAGGAAGGATTTTCTTCTGTTTCTCCTTTGAGGTATGATAATCCAACTCCATTACTGATGATTGGTAATGATTCTAGACAAGATTTGTTGTATGATCAATGGCATGGCAATGAGGGTTTAAGCCCTATTTTGGAACACCCTATTTTTGCTTCTCTTGCTACTTCAATGTCTGGGTTGAATAATGCTCGAAAATGGAATGAACTCTTTAAAGAAAATAAATATGAAGGATTAGATTTAACCCAAAGTAAGAATATCAGTGCGATTGGTGGAGAGAATGCCAGTGCAAAGAGGGATGAGTGGGTCAGGATTACAATGGATGATGTGAAACCAGAAATTGATTTCTGGAATTCTGCTGTTGTGTGCTATGTTCTTAGTTCAAATTTGCCTCATAGGATCATGAATGCTTTCATTAGAAGATCTTGGGGTAGATTTGGGGTTGATCGAGTGTCTACAATGGAGAATGGGGTTTTCTTGGTAAGATTTAAGTCGATTGAAGGGCGAGACAAGGCTCTTATGGCTGGACCTATCTTCTTTGATAAGAAGCCTTTGATCACAAAGAAATGGGAGCTTGGAATTAATCTCAAATCAGAAGACATTCATGAGGTTCCTATCTGGGTTCGTATGCCAGGATTGGAGCTGAAGTTCTAGAGTCAGTCTTCTTTGATGAAAATAGCTGGGATTCTGGGGAAGCAAGTTAAAACTGATAGGGCAACAACTATGAAGGAACTAATTGGGTATGCTCGTGTAATGGTAGAAGTTAATGTGAACGGGGAATTGCCATCTAAAGTCAGCTTTCTGGATGAAAATGGAAGGAAGGTGACTCAGAAAATTGTATATGAATGGAAGCCAGTTCAATGTGCTATGTGTCATGGAATGGGTCATACTTGTGACCAATGCCCTAATCACAAGGTTAGGGAAAGACAGAGAACAGCTAAAGCAACTGGCATGAGGCAGCCTGTGAGAAAGGAATGGAGACCAATCCAGGAGCAGAATAGGGCAGGGAAGTCTGGTAACACTCCAAAAGTTACCCTGAGGAATAGATTCTCTGACTTGCAGAAAGATGTAGAGGAAGGTGAGATTGTGGAGTTGGAGCAGGTAAATGTGACCTCAAAGGAAGGTAGTGCAAGTGATTTGATAGAAATAAGGAGGGGTCAGGTGATGTATGGAAGGATGGGTGGTGGGGGATGCTCTTTCTCTGTTAATGGATAGGATATGGTTTTGGAATGTGAGGGGACTAAATAAACCCAATAAGATATGTGATGTCTTATGGTTCAATGAGACATCATAATATGGGGTTATTTGGTTTCATGGAAACGAAGGTGAAGGCTAGGAGGTTCAGTAAGGTATTTGGTAAGGAGTGGTCAATTGTTACTAACTATTCTGCTCATAACTCTGGAAGGATTTGGCTTACCTGGCTCCCTTCTATTTTTTCTGTTAGTAGTTGCAAGGTTGGTGTGCAGTACATTCACACTTTGGTAACCCATAGAGCTTCTATGAAGTCTTTTTGGGTTACTATGGTATATGGTCTTAATGATGCTAGTGAGAGGGAGAAGCTATGGGAGCAAATTTTTGATTTGGCTACCTCAATCAGTGAACCTTGGTTGATTGCTGGTGATTTTAATAATATTCTGAACCTAGAGGATAAGCTGGGTTCTCCTTGTACCATTGCCGAGGTTAAGAAGTTTAGAACCTGTTTGAGAAGTAATGATCAGATGGATTTTAATACTGGAGGCATGTTTTTCACATGGAATAATAAACAGGAGGGAAGAGACAAGGTCTGCACCAAAATTGATAGAGTGATAGTTTACAGATTCTGGCTGAGCATTTTCCCCCATTTCAGTGCTGAGTTCCTCCCTGAGGGATTAATGGATCAGTCTCCTTGTTGTATGAAGCTAGATAATCAGATTGGAAATGTTAGAAAGCCATTCAGATTTTTCAATATGTGGACTGAAGCTCCAGACTTTCTTGAAATAGTAAAGGATGCTTGGAACTGCTCTATTAATGGTACTCCTATGTTTAGAGTTGTTCAGAAATTGAAAATTATCAAGAAACATTTGAAATGCATTAATACAAGGTGTTTTCGAATGTTGAGAGTGAAGATCTAGCAGCTGAGAAGAGGTTAACTGACATTTAGGTGAAGGTGAATAGTGACCCTACTAATGAAGATCTCTTGAAGCAGGAGTATGAGGCAAGGGCTGAGTATGCTAAAGCTCATCAGGCTAGGTTTCTTTTTCTAAAACAGAAAGCTAGAGCTCACTGGATGAAGGAAGGTGATTTGAACTCTAGCTACTTTCATTCTTGCATCAGAAATAAAAGGTGATGAACTGAATATGTTCTATTCAGAATCAGAATGGAGAGATGATCAATGCTCCTGACAAGATTGCTGAAACTTTTGTCTCTTATTACCAGAAATTGCTAGGAAGTGATGAGGGGGAAGTGATGGACATTCATACTGAAGTGATTCAGGCTGGTCAGGTTTTGTCTGAAAGTCAGAAACATGCTGTTATCAGGCCTTTTACTGAGAATGATGTGAGGAATGCTCTCTGAGATATTAATGAAAATAAGTCTCCTGGTCCAGATGGGTATACTAGCAGATTTTTTAAGCAGACCTGGGAAATAGTCAAGACTGATGTGTGTGGGGCTGTTCTGAACTTCTTTGAAACAGGTAAGCTCTTAAAGCAAATAAATACTACCTCTCTTAATTTAGTCCCAAAGGTGGCTAGTGCAACAGCTGTTACTCAATATCATCCTATATGGATTTGTACTAGGCTAAAGGAAATTCTTCTTGATATCATTAGTGAAGAGCAGAGGGCCTTTATTTCTGGGAGGGCTATTGTTTAGGGTGAAAATACCCTAAGACACGTGGCCCAATAAAGGCTTGACACGTGTCAATCCTTCAGCGGTCTGCAAAGGCCCATTTCCTTTGCAGACACGTGTCCCTTATACCCTAATTGAGGTACAGTTCTCCCTTACTATAAATAGTAAGGGTAGACCTCATTTATGAGGGACATACATTAATTGCAACCACAAAAAAAAAACAAAAAAAGTCCAAACCTACGGAAACGCTCTCGAACCGAGAAGCTTTTGCTGTTCTTATTCCACTTTGAAAAGATACTAACTTAATCTTCGGAGGCGGAACTCCCACCCCCCATCCGGAGTCTCCGTTACTTGTGCAGGTACAGGCGCAAGAAGGAAGTCGGCTAGGTGCAGGTACAGGCGTAAGAAGGAAGTCTGCTAGGAAATTGTAACTCTCCCGAAGGACACAGAAAACCCCCAAACATCTGGCGCCGTCTGTGGGGAGAGTACTTTCTAGATGACATCTGAGCCTATACTACCTGGTAAAGGCAATATGCCTACTGGGGAGGTTGAGGTCCATTCGGACCAAGATACAGCCGATAACTATGACTTGGAAGCCTACACTGCTGCAGATGGCTCTTTGAGGACCAAGAACACCCGTTCCAAAGATAAGAGAGAACGGGAAGGGAACCAGGCGGCTCCTAGCAAGCCAACTAGGGGGCCGCTTGGGTTAACCTCTACCGCTGGAGACTCCCCAGTCTCCAGAGATGAGCTCATGAATATGATGATGAGCTTCAAAGGAGAGATCAAAGGCCTTCTGGACTCCACAGCCGGCCCCCGTAAGGGTCAGGCGGAAGAAAGGCGTCACGGTAAAAAGACGGCCAAAACAGTCAAGGGTAGAGCATCTACCCCACATCCGAAGTCAGACATGCCAGCTAGGCTCTTTGATTTCTCAAAGATGCACACTCCTATAGATGGAGTCAGAAAGCCCGTCCGGCACATTCAGCCGGATGGAACCAAGAAAGTCTATTCTGATGCCCGGACCCTCATCCAAGATAAAAAGACTCAGCGATCCGAGTCGGCATCAACATCGACCTTTCGAGACAGCTTTAATGCCACCTCAGGAAGGCACTCGAGAACAAACAATGACAGCCGGACGAGCGAGGTTTCCGCTCGATCCGGCCCCCATATGATCCAACCGGCAGTGCATGGAACACCGTATACACCCTTTGGATCCCCCTATGCACAGGCAGGTATTTTCGGGGGGCAGCATCAGTCGCCCGTCCAGCCTATGGACTGGCAGCTCCGGCTGCTCAACCTTGGGGAACAGCCAACGGCGTTCTCCAGAGAAATTACCGAGATGACCCAGCCGTCTAAAATCAAAAACGTGTTGGTAGGTGCCTACGACGGTACCACCAACCCGGAAGATCACCTTATGGCATACACCAACCTGATGTATTTGCAGGGTTTGGATGATGCCGCATGGTGCCGGTGCTTCCCGGCAACGTTGAAAGGGATTGCTCAACGTTGGTTTGGTAACCTCCCAGCCGGATGCATCAATAATTTCAGGACCTTGGCCTACTGGTTTACGTCCAACTTTTCTATGAACATCCCTGCCAAGAAAACAAGCCTTGATCTAGGGGCAATACAACAGGGAGACAAAGAGGGGCTCCGGTCATATGTCAGGCGGTTTAACCTGATGAGGATCCAAATCAATGGATTGTCTGATGACGTTGCCTATACTGATTTCTTCAAAGGCTTAAAAGATGGATCAACTTTTAAGTTTGACTTGGTTAGGAAGAGGGTCTCCACTCTTCACGAGGCACTCATGAAGGCGGAGGCCTACATTCAGGCAGTGGAATTGTGTGCTGTTAAACTTCCAACGGATTACAAAAGATCCGATAAAAAAGAGAATCGGCCTACCCAGTCGGCCAAAAAGGAAGACAAGAGAAAGGGGGTATGGGCGGCAGACTCATCCGGACAACCTTTCCAGAAAAGGAAGAGGTCGGATCCGTATGTGCCAAAGTACGAGTTCAACAAGGACTGTGCCTCCATTCTCAACGAAGTAAAGGACCGGTTGAATCTTGAAAAACCGTCTCCTATGAAGAGTCCTCTAAGCGCCCGGGATAAGAGCAAATATTGTCTTTTTCACGAGGAAATTGGCCACGACACTGAGGGTTGTTTTAGCCTCAGGCGGCTCTTCGACCGGCTCGCTGATGAGGGGGCTCTCAAATCTTATCTTTCCAAGTCAAGGGGTACACCTAAACAAGCAAGAGGACCACCCCCAAAGAAGCCGGCTACTCAATCGGATACGGATGAGGAAACCATTCTGACCATAGCCGGTGGCTTTGCGGGAGGTGGGCCTACCATCCGGGGTACAAAAGATAACATTCGGAAACTGGTCAACTCGGTGGATGAGGGCCAGTCGTCTGAATATTCATTTCCGGAAGTTAACATCTCCGAGAGAGATAGAGGCGAGGTCAGGCGGCCTCATGATGACCCCATAGTCATCGAGTGCAAAATCGCCAATCAAAGAGTTGGCCGGATCTTGATTGATACCGGGAGCTCATCCGACCTCATCAGCTACCGGTGCTTGGAGAAACTCAAGTATAAGCCCAGTAGCATGCTTCCGGCCTCATACCCTCTTGTAGGTTTTGGGGGAGGAGTAGTACATCCGGTGGGCATGATTGATCTACCCATCCGGTTCGGAGAGAAGGGTAAGGGCCGGCATATGGTTGTCAAGTTCCTTGTAGTAGAAGAGCTGACTGCCTACAATCTGATTATTGGCCGTCCAACCCTTAACCTCTCAAAGGCAGTCATCATCCCATCTCTAATGTTGATATAGTTTGAAAGGGATGATGGCACAGTCGGTTCCTTGAGTGGGAACCAAAAGATGGCGAGAGAGTGTTACCTCTCAGACATCAAACCAACGCTTGACACAGGCGGTCAAGAGAAAGAAATTGTTGAACTTGACGACTGTGATCAAAGCTTACCGGCTACAAAGCCAGCCGGTAAAAAGAGGAAGGCGGACCAACTGGCGCCTGTGAAGGAGAAACAATAGCAATCACTGTCCGAGAGGACAAACGTCCTTCGCCCTCAGCCGGCAGGAGAAATAATTGATGTTGTCCTTGAAGACAGTCGGCCAGACAGAACCGTCAAGGTTGAAACGGCTGCGTTTGAAAGTTTGGGATCAGGTTTGCTCCTTTTGCTGAAAGAGTTCAAAGATGTGTTTGCCTTTGAAGTAGAAGAGATGCCGGGTGTAAGTCCGGATCTTGCTGTACATAGACTCGCTGTGGATCCTAAGAAGAAGCCGGTCAGGCAAAAGAAACGGAACCATGGCGAGGAAAGGTCCCAGGCGGCAGCAACCGAGGTCAAGAAACTCTTGGATGCTGGATTCATCCGGCAATGTTACTACCCGGATTGGGTAGCCAATGTCGTCCTTGTGAAAAAGCCGAATGGAACCTGGCGGATGTGTGTAGATTACACGGACCTCAACAGGGCTTGTCCAAAGGATAGCTACCCGCTTCCAAAGATAGATCATTTGGTAGACTCTACAGCCGGCCATGCCCTGATGAGTTTCATGGACGCCTATTCCGGCTTCCATCAGATACCCTTGTGGAAGAAAGACCAAGAGAAGACGGCTTTCGTCACAGATCAAGGGCTATATTGCTACAAGGTGATGCCGTTTGGGTTGAAGAATGCGCCTGCTACTTTCCAGCGAATGATGAACTCAGTCTTTTATGATCAGATTGGAAGGAACGTGGAGGTGTACATTGATGACATGATTGTCAAATCAAAGCTGCAGGCGAATCATCTAGCCGACCTCCGAGAAACTCTCACCACCCTCAGACGGCATAAAGTCATGTTAAATCCTAGAAAATGCGTCTTTGGAGTTGAGTCCGGGAAGTTTCTTGGATTTTTGATTGATCAGAGAGGCATAGAAGCCAATCCGGACAAAGTACAGGCGGTGATCAACATGCAGTCGCCACGTACCGTCAGGGAGGCTCAAAAGCTTACCGGTTGCCTGGCGGCACTGGGAAGATTCCTCAGCCGGTCAGGTGACAAGTGCCTGTATTTCTTTCAAGCAATCAAAAAGAGGTCAAGGTTTGAATGGGGTGAAGAGGCTGAGGCGGCATTTCAACGGCTGAAGCAACACCTGCATTCTTTGCCAGGATTGGTGAGTCCCCTACCCCAGGAGGCTCTCTACATGTACTTGTCCGTCTCGGATCACTCCTTGAGTGCCGTCCTCCTTGCTGAGAGAGACGGTAATCAGCTCCCGGTATACTTTTTAAGCCATGTCCTCCGGAATGCTGAACTTCGTTATCCCATGATCGAAAAATTCGGTCTGGCTTTGTTCAAAGCAGTCAAGCGGCTGAAACCGTATTTTTTAGCACATCCGGTGACCGTTTACACTGACCAGCCGCTCAAAAGGCCTATGACCACTTTAGAGTCATCCGGAAGAATGATTAAATGGGCTGTGGAAATCCAAGGCTTAGAAATCACTTTCGAACCCAGGCGAGCAGTGAAGGGTCAGGCGTTTGCCGACTTCATTGTTGAAATGACAAGGCCAATATAGCCGGATAAAACCGATGAAGTTTGGAGGGTTTATGTAGACGGGAGCTCTACGCTGAATGGCTGCGGAGCGGGTGTAATTATTCACTCTCCGGAGGGGGACAAATACGAGTACGCTCTACGATTCAAGTTTCAAGCTTCGAATAATGAAGCTGAATACGAAGCCCTGCTAGCCGGTATCCGCATGTGTAAGGCGGTCGGGGCAAGGAAAGTTGATGCCTGCTCAGATTCCCAACTCATCGTTAGCCAGTACAACGGTGACTACGAGGCCACCCATCCGGTGATGATTATGTATCTGCAGGCGGTCAAAGAGGAGGCTGGGGCATTTGATGAATTCAACCTGAGTCAAGTACCCAGATCCGAGAATAATCAGGCGGATGCACTATCCAAACTTGCATCCTCCGCCACATGTGATACGCCTAGATCAGTCTTCTGGGAAGTCATGGAAAAGAGAAGCATTGAACATGACCCCATTGGACTTCTAGATCGAAGCTCCACATGGATGGACCCCATCCGGAATTACTTGGAAGACGGCACTCTACCGGAAACCTCATCCGAAGCAGCTGCTCTTAAAAGACGAGCATTAATCCTTCAGCTTGACACGTGTCAATCCTTCAGCGGTCTGCAAAGGCCCATTTCCTTTGCAGACACGTGTCCCTTATACCCTAATTGAGGTACAGTTCTCCCTTACTATAAATAGTAAGGGTAGACCTCATTTATGAGGGACATACATTAATTGCAACCACAAAAAAAAAACAAAAAAAGTCCAAACCTACGGAAACGCTCTCGAACCGAGAAGCTTTTGCTGTTCTTATTCCACTTCGAAAAGATACTAACTTAATCTTCGGAGGCGGAACTCCCACCCCCCATCCGGAGTCTCCGTTACTTGTGCAGGTACAGGCGCAAGAAGGAAGTCGGCTAGGTGCAGGTACAGGCGTAAGAAGGAAGTCTGCTAGGAAATTGTAACTCTCCCGAAGGACACAGAAAACCCCCAAACAGCTATCATTGATAACATCATGATCTGTCAAGACCTTCTTAAGGATTACAAAAATCAGAGAAAGGCTCCTAGATGTACAATAAAGGTGGATATTAGAAAGGCCTATGATTCTGTGAAATGGCAGTTCATTGAGAGTATGTTACAGGCTCTTGGTTTTCCTCTTCATTTTGTTGGATGGATTATGACTTGTATCTCTTCCCCTTCTTACTCAATTATGATTAATGGAGGTAGTAATGGGTTTTTTAGAGGTGCAAGAGGGATTAGACAGGGGGACCCTCTTTCTCCCCTGCTGTTTGTGATTTGCATGGACTATTTGACTAAACTGCTAAAGAAGATTGGGCTGAAAAGGAGCTTCAAATATCATCACAGATGCAATCCTCTAAAGTTAAATCATTTGATTTTTGTTGATGATTTAATGCTTTTCTCTTGTGGTGATAGGGCCTCTGTGTCTTTATTAGTTAGAGCTTTGAAGACTTTTCACATGGTTTCGGGGCTACAAGCTAATGAGGATAAAACAACCATTTATTTTGGGAATGCGAATGAGGATATAAGACAGGATATCTTGGCTTCTTCTGGATTTATTGAAGGAGACTTTCCTTTTACGTATTTGGGAATCCCTTTAAATTCCAAATATCTTAGAAATAGTGATTTTGATGTGCTCATAGACAAGATGATGGCTAGTATTACTTGTTGGTCAAGTAGGAATTTGTCATATGCTGGGAGGGTGGTGCTCATCAACTCAGTGTTGATCAGTTTCTACTCTTATTGGGCTCAGTGTGTGCTTTTGCCTAAAAGTGTTGTTGATAGAATAAATCAGCTTTGTAGGGCTTATTGATAACTTGTTATTTGGCATGATTTTAGGGTACTTTTGAACCTTGTTTTCGTTATTAATCGACATCAAAGTTCATTTTTTATCCTATTTTTATGCAAATTTTGTACCATCCATGCTTCACCGGTTGTTTGTGTTTTTGATGTAATGTAGCTATTTTTAGCACTATGGACATGATCAAGCATGAGTGAGCAAGGATAAGGGCAAGTTTGGTTGATAGAGCCATGGAGGAAGAAGGAGGAATGCCTTAAAGAGAAATGAAAAGCTTTTGGAGAACCTTGAAAGGTCGTTTGCGTAAGCGTCAACTTCAACCAACCATAACTTTTGATCTTATCAACCTTTTGAAGCGATTCAAATTGGAGATTAAAGTTCGTCTCAAGAGCTTTCCAACGACTGGTCACAAGTCCATTTCCGACAAGAAACGTAGAAGTTAAAGCTTCCCAAAGTTAAGCAGTCTAGGCAGGGTATCCTGCACGGACGTGCAAGATGATAGCACGTCCGTGCAAGTCTGCACGTCCGTGCCAAAAGCTGCACGTCCGTGCAGACCTTGGCAGAAGCTTCTGCCTCCATTTTGGCCCTCCTACACGTCCGTGCCAAACTTGGCACGGCCGTGCTTAGCCTTGCACGTCCGTGCCAAATCTGGCACGTCCGTGCAGACCTGTAGTCGAACTCCTTCCTTGTTTTTTCCGTCCTTTTTATTTGGGGGTCATATAAATACCCCTTTAGAGCTCATTTGTACGGGAGGCAGTTTTTTTAGAGCTTTCCTCTTAGTTTGTAGTCTTAGAACATTAAATTCTCAAATCATTAGTTAGTTCTTAATTTTTAGCTTAGAAGCATTCAAATTCAATCATTGTAGAAGACAAAATCCACCATTGTTGCTCACTTTGAAGCTTCATAGTAACCATTTCTTACTCATCTTTTCTACTTCTCTTTACTTTGTTGTTGATTACTTGCTTAATTCTTGCATGCTTAGATTGTTAATTAGCTTAATCCTTAGTTTGAACTTGTTCATGAATTGCTTGAAACCTCTAATTGCTTTAACCTCCATGGATTGTGAGTAGTCTAAATTCTAGGGTTTGGGTAAAACCCTCAATGTAGTCACTAATTACTTGTTGCATGTGCTAATTTGGTTGTTGTGGGATGATGATTAGTTGAGCTTAAGTGGTTTAATTGCTTAGTTCTTGTATATGGCATTGCTAGAACTATTTATCCAAGCTTTCTCAACGAAGGATCGAGAGATGAACTTGAGTTAGCTCCCTTATGCTTAATTGACCCGAAATGCCATGAGAATAGGGATTACCGGTCAAGGGAATGTTTATGTCATCGTGATTATGCTTTAACACTTGTTTCATGCTATGTAACCACGAGAGTAGGTTGTATTCACGATTCAAGTAATCCCTCTAGCTTGAGAGAGTAGTTGGGTGCTTTAGATGACTTCCCCTAATTTGTCCCATTAATTTACCTTGATTGTAGCATGCTAATTGTGATTTGTGATGAAGTTGAGTGGTATAACCCGAGCCCTAGATTCCTCTTAATATTGTTAATCTCCTCTTAGCTTTAGTTGAGTTGAATTAGAAGAAGTTACTCAAAACCAACCCAATTTAGAATTCATTTAGCTTATTTAAACGGTAGTACTCGGTGGTTGATTCAACGCCTCTCTTGGGTTCGACCCTTTCTTACCCTTACTATTGTTAGTGAGACCAAGATAGGAATCATTATCTTTGGTAGGCTCGACGACGGTCTATCACTTATTTGTGGGATGGGCACGTTTCTTTATCCAAAGCTCCCCCTATCTCCTGGGACTGGGTTTGTAAGCCTAGAAAGATGGGTGGTATGGGAATTAGAAATTGTAGTGCTTGGAATAAAGCAGCCTTGGGCAAGTATGTTTGCAAGGTAGCTTGTAAAAAGGATTCTTTGTGGGTGAAATGGGTGCACTCAGTTTATATCAAGCATAGAGATTGGTGGAACTATACTCCAAGCAAAGGGGCAGTCTGGGCTTGGAAGAAAATCTGCAGGATCAAAGAGGAACTGAAAGCTGGTTTCATCAGTAACAAATGGACAGAAGGTGCCTATACTATTGCTGAAGGTTATAGGTGGATTATTGGAAGCATGCCTACAGTCAGCTGGACTAATTGGATCTGGAATAAGTTCAATGTTCCAAAACATACGTTTATTGCTTGGCTTGCTGCTCATGACAGACTCAGACTGAGAACTAAGTTGCACAACATTGGAGTGTGTGAGACTGATCAGTGTTTACTGTGTGGTGCAGCTCCAGAATCTGTACAACATCTGTTTTTTGAGTGCTGTTACAGTCAGGCTTGCATCAATTATCTATGGATTGGAATCAAGCACAGAAGCTTTGTATTAGATACAGCGTGGAGGCAGTGGAAGAGAGTGCCTGCAGACTCAGTTCAACAGAAAGTAAGACTAGCTGTTCTTACTGGCCTTGTTTACCACATATGGTTAGCCAGATCTCATGCCTTGTGGCACAAAGCTGTGATCCGGCCAGAGAAGATTTGTAAAGTAGTATGTGTGGAAGTAATGGACAGGTGCCATCAACTCATTAGTGGCTCTTGGTCAAGGAAGCAAGCTAAATGGCTGTTTAATCTCAGGAATAGTGTGCCTTGTAACTAGTCTTCTGTTAGTGGTCTGTTTTCTGGTGTTGGTTTCTTTGTATGTTCGGGCTTGGCTTGGTTAAGTTGTAAAGGCTTAAGGTGGTGTAGGCCTGTGTTTGTTTTTGTTTTTGTGTTTGGTGTTTGTTTGGCCTTTTGGCTCGTGTAGTTTGGGTGAGGTTTTTCCTCTTTCTCTTTTGGTAATAAAAGCTACTTACTTACCAAAAAAAAAAAAATGTTTGGTGGTTGGGAATGTGAGTGATGAGAGTGGTTGGGGGGAAATGGGATAATAAATGGAGGGAGTGATTAAATTAGATCAAATTTGATTAATTTTAGATTAATTTTGATTAAAATAAGATAAGGGTAAAATTATGAAAATCTGAATTTTTAAGTAAGGGTAAATATGTAATTTTTGAGGTTCCTGTTTACTAAAAATAGAAAGAAAATAGAAAGTTGCATAATGTTTAGCGGACTAAAATAGTAAAAGTTGCACATAAAAATTAACGGAGGGAGTATATTAAATTATTAATGGGAGTGCGCTCCTTTACACTCTCTTTCAGCCATTCCTATTCCCACAATTTAATCCCCAAACTTCCAATTCTTACATTCGACTTGTGCAATATCGTGGTGCGGTAAGACACCTTCCACCTTATTGCTTCTTACCAATCTGAAAAAAAAATAAAAATTGTTTGTAACCATTTTATTACACCATAACAGAGCTCTCTATCTCTATGACCCTATCCATGGCGTAAGCTGCTAAGAGTTCTAACTGTGACGTTTGTCAATATTAATGTTGTGGGTAATTCTACTTCTCACTTGATTATACATTTTTTGGGTAAATTATTTATATATTTTATTTGATTTGGGTAATTTGGGTTTCGTGTTTCTAATTCTAGGATGATGGCTCAAATCGCTCATTGTACCACTGGAGTTAATTTTTTGCAAGGAGCAACATTATCTTCCTATAAATATAGCTTTCATGGGGTTTGCAGCAAACCCCTGGTGTTAATTACTTATAATAAAGCATGTTTATCTCATGGAAAAATTGCCAATTTTCACAGAAATGGAGAAATTTCATCTTTAGGTAATTAATTAACCATCTTATTTCAAACGGTTCAATATTTTGATTCTTTTATAAGATAAAATGAAAATTTTGTTTGATGTTGTAATGTACTTTTTAATAGGGTCCTGGGAGGTGTCAAGTAATGCTGCAAGCATCTCTTGTAAGGTATTATCATTCAATGCTCTACTTTTTACCATTTTCGATTTGAATTTCATTGAAAATTATTATATACACTTAGGCGCAAGGTATTTTTTTCCTCATTTGGTAATGAGCAGTAATCGTAAAAATAAACAAAAATTATCTTGGGTGTATCTTGCACCCGGGTGTTTAAAGAATCTCATGAACTGTGAAAACTATCAGATATGCCTGTTGTCAGACTTTTGTAAAGAGCTTGAATAACACATTCACACCTTGCACTCCCCTATCCATGTATCAGAAATTCTTTGTTAGGACGAAACCGTCTAAGCATACAATGAGCTGGAGAGCGTCTTCTAATGTCATTAAACTCTCCACTGCCAGAAACCCAGGCAGGTTTTCTTGTTTAGTCTGCGAATAAAGTATAGAGTCACAAAATGATGTCTGTTCTCTTTCTGACTGTAGTCTAGTTAACTATTTATAGTGTAGAATGTTAGTAACAACTCACGTATAGACATGAAAAGTCTTTCGTCTGTAATGGAAGAATTACATCCTTAATAAGGTATATAGGGTGCTCTCAACTCGCTTAGCCCATTGAGCATAAGTTTTATTTATTGTCCAATATTGAAATGATTTTTTTGGTTTCTGTGAGCTTACTATATGGCACATATTACACCAGGAAATTGTAAAGTCAATCTGGCATAAGTATGAGGCTATCGTGGACTTGTTCTTGTGGCAAGTGACAAATATGTTCTAATTAACTTCTTTTCAAAAGTTGTGACAAAAAGAATCTTTCTATTAACTTTCCTATTCAATATCTCAGCTTTCTTCTACTTCATTTGTTTCAGTGACAATTTTCAGTCTGACCTAGATTATCTGTTCTTTGGCCCTGATTAAAACTACACATAATTACTGTGGTAGCCTAGGACTGTGCACTTTACAATGTGTAAGCTCATGTAAAATAAGAACTTCTAAAACAAATACAAGATGGTAAAGGGTTTTATCTATGTTTTTTTCTTATAAGATTATGATGGTGCAAGGCAATCTTGAGTAGTTTGCTTAGGTTCTTCATCATCCCTTGCTGCATTTATAAAGCTTGAAATCTAATTACAATGCCTTGTTAGTTGACTTGGTTTGAATTTAAATTATATCTTGTACATAGGCCAAAGATCATGACAGGGAGAAAGGCTTTCCACCTATACAAACTCTGCAAAGATTCCCTAAAGAGGAGCTTTCTGCAAAAGTTGTCATGGTCAGATTTGATTCTTCCATCCTGCTTCACCAGGATCTGGACGAATCTGTCTCAAAAATTTCCAATGCACTATTAACTATTAAATACATATATGAAGCCGGAGCAAAGGTAGTTTTGGCTAGTAGTTGGACAGTCAAATGCAACTCCAAGGTTTTATCTGAAGAGACTGTTGCAGGTATGACTCTGGTTGTTATTTTCTACAGCTTTCTGATTTGCAGCTTGTTGATTTGATTTTGTAGCACTATAGTACTTTCGAGTATGCTTTTCTGCTTCAAGGATAGTAACATTGTGGCTTTTGGTGAAGAGTGTGTTTATTTAGTTGTTAGTGGGATAGAGGAATAATAAACAGTAGTGTATGCGAGGATGATGAGAGGGAAATAATAAAGTAGTTGTGTGTCCTTACCAAATAAGTGTTGTAATGGATCAAAAATGGATGAAAAAGAAAAGGGTTGCAATTAATTAGAAACAAAGGGAGTAACTGGTACAACCTATAACAATAAGGTAATAGAGACTGAAAGAGAGAATTTGCCCATTTTCCCAAGAGCCAACATAATTATGTCTAAACAACAAGCAAGGTGTACCTTGTTAATTGGCTCGTGCAGCTGGTAAGTTACAAGCTTAGCATGAAACTGGTGGATTACAATTAATAATTGTGGTCAAGGATTACTCTATGGTCTGCCACTAATTATATGCTTTATCACTGACTATTGTAGGTGTATTGGTTAGTTCATTCAAATATTTTTAGAACATTTTTTCAATTTTTTCCTTTGTACACCTCTCAGCCTTCTCTTTCATGTAATCTCACAGGTTGGGATTAAACTAAAACAGATGACCTCATTCGTTCATTTAGTAGTCCAGCTCTTATTAAACACGCTTTTGATGGATGAAACACTAATCTATTACCTGTTGTTTTTGTTTGTTCATTTACCCCGGCTCTTATTAGCCCACTTTTAATATAAGAGATGCTAATCTATTTCCTGTTGCATTTGTTGATTAGCAGAATTCCTTTCATCAGTGCTCAAATTGAAGGTTCTCCCTGGTAAATGCTTTTATGAACATCAGCAGCCAAATTTCGAGCAAGTTGAGGAAGCAGATATCATTCTTCTTGAAAATCTTACAAACTACAAACAAGAACTTGCCAACAACTCAGAATTTGCTAGGAGATTAGCTTCTGGGATAGATATTTTTGTCAACGATTCGTTTTCAACAGCTCACAAAATTCTTGCATCAACTGTTGGAGTTACCCAGTTTTGTTATGCTTGCCTAGCTGGTTTTTATTTTGACGAGTGTTTGGCCAAATTGAAGACAATTCCAGAATGTGATCTGAGTCCCAGTGTTGCAGTGGTATTCCCTTGCTATTATTTACTTCTTAATATTTTTTTTTTTTAATTTAGTTATGCTGCTTATTTCACGGTAAGTCATAATTACTAACATTGGTTAATGTTTCATCATTTGGTATAGGTAGGAGGAGGAAATATTAAGGACAAAGTAAAAGCCTTGCGCGTTTTAGCTGCTAAATGTGATGGTTTGGTTTTTGTGGGGATGATGGCACTACAAATCATGCATGTCATGGGAAAGCCTGTTCCCTTGCATTTGGTTGAGCATGAAGGAGTCAAAGAGGCTCTAGAAATAGTGAGTTATGCTGAAAGTAGAAGCATACATATGCTATTACCAAGTGATTTCTTATGCAAGCATAATCACTTGCCGATGCAAGAAAAATCATTTCTTGCTCATAATATTGTGGATGGTAAGTTTCTCCTTTTTTGAGTTTGCTCTTGCATTTTGTACGGGAAAATTGGATAAAATTATTGTATCCTTGTTACACTTTTATTGCTATATCTATTGACTTGCATGCTCAAGATCTTTACAAATGAATGCTTTTGTTGAGGTCCTGCAGTCTTGCCTCTTTCAATTTTTATGTTAGGTCTTTTCATCTTCTTTTTTCTTTTTTCCGTGTCTATCTCCTTCTCTTGGATCTAAAAGCATGAGTTGTCTTTATCAAGCATCAAACTTGACTAGCATTATGACTAGCATTATATTAATACCCCTCATCTAATAGCCTTTTAAAGAAAAGGAAGGGCATCAAAGAATCTGAACAGAAGAAGCTGGTAAAATATAGGCTATTTATACTCCTAGGTTGTAAAGTATTATTTGTAATAAAAGTTCAGAAATTCATATTGTAGGCTTCTCTACATCTGAATGTCAAGTATTTGGAATTTCTGGGTTAACTTCAAAAGTATACATATGGTAAATGATGAATATTTTTAGCATGTGCTTATTAACAAGAGGCATATAAAGTCACCATTTATTTTATGAACAAGAAGCAAAACTAGGTTGTGAAATCATAAGCTATGAAGACAAGCTGAAAAGATGATACCACTCCAATCATATCAGAATTTCATTGCTTGGACTGTCAGATAACTAAGTTTTGTTCTACTGTTATTCTTAATATTTTGTTTTTTTTCTCTGTATTGATTCTATTCAAAGCTTTTATTACTCCTATTAGTATCTCTTCATTGCGATCTTCTACTTTTGAAATTGTTTTTTTTTTCTTCTAGTCTTTCCAAAACTTATTATCTACTATAGTTGATATTGAAGGGCAAGGAAGTTATGTATCTCTTTACCTCAAACCTTTTCATAAATGCACTTGTAGTGGGTATTACTTTGTTGTTTTTTAGAAATAGGGAATTTCTACTATGATGACATGGCCATATTGGTGTTAAAGTTTCCTTGCTTAGTGGGTTTTTGGGTATTGAGCTAACTTCAAATTTAAAATTATTTATTTGATTTTTTTGATTAGCCCTAATAAATTCTTTGTAATTCTTGTACTTTAAGACATTGATCGATATTTTTGATGTGCTCTCACTTGTAAAGCTGTTATGAGGGTAATGTCTGTTGTAAATTATACGTAAGATGGATTTCTACACAATGTTGATTTTAATGATAGGAAAAAAATTCATTAGTGTTTTCTCGTACTGTATTAGGTTGGGAACCTGTTGATCTTGGATCAAACTCATTCAATGAAATTGCCACTTACCTTTCAAGATGTAAGGTGACTACTTCCATTGTTTCATAATATTTATTTTAGTTGACTTCTCTAGAAGATGATGAAAAGTAAAAAAGATTGAATATGAATGGTTTCTACAGGAGCTGTATATTGTATAGTGAATACATGGAGAGTGAAATATTATGTAGGTTGATTTGAACATACCAATTGGAAAGAAAGATAATCCCATTTGAGGACACAGTTTTCAAATAGTGCTATTCACATACTTTTTGACCCTCCCATTATCCCTTTTCCAAGACATATTCTATTTAAGAGGTTGTCAATATCTTTGTTGGCATTCCCCAATATGCACAAAATTGATCACGAATGTCAATGTCCAAGTTTGCTTATAAGTCCTGTACCTTTTAATGATGATTAGGCAGATTTAAGGGTGTGTACATAACCAAGCAAGGGTCCAATTGAAATACACAAGAAGCACCATATGAAAGAAATTTTCCATGGGAAGGTAACTCAAAGACATCTCATCTCTCAACTCTTTTTCTTACTCTTCTATACGTGTCTCTCTTACAACCGACAACAATCAAGTTGCTCAGTGATTTTTATCTTCTTCCTACGTTAAATAATTAGCCCCTGTAAAGGGAGAATAATCACTCATTTGAGTTGTGAGTCTCTCATTGACCTACCCAACACCTTGCTTGTGGTCCTTCCTATTTAGTATGGCTCTTAGTCTACACATGAATTATGTAATGCAATGTAAGAGATTGCACAAATATGGTCTGCCACATGATGCACCTATTGAATGTTATTGATTCATAAAATAAGCTTTCAGTATTCACTATTTTTTCGTGTTCCTATTACTAATAACCCACTATTGACAAGTCTAATAAGATTTGGTGAATCATACCAATTGATTTATGAATTAAACTTTCAGCATTCACCATCTTTTCATGTTCATAATACTAATAACCATTATTGACAAGTCTAATAAGATTTGGTGAACCATACCAATAACAATTATATTCAATCTTTTTGATTCAAGTACTTCATTCAACACTAAGGAACCCTATTGATCATATGCACTAAAGTGTATTAAGGGTTGGGTTAGAGTTTTAGGGGAGAAATGCAAGTTCTTGATCACACTTGTGAACAAAGGGACTAAAACATGGATATATAGTAAATTGTTTCTCTTTTGATCTTAAGCTGTTCTCAAAATTTATCTTATATTATTCTCAAAAAGCTGATGGAGTTCCCTCTGGACATTCTTGTTGCAACTAATAATGTTGGGCTGCTGGATTCATGGCATAGTTCTATGAGAATCTAATGTTAGGGAGGAATATAATGTTAGACAGTCTATGATGTTGGAGAGGCAGCTCTAACATGAACACCATGAAACCATGAGCCAGAAGGCATTAAATGGTGTCAGCTGGTGAATAGGATGAATGGGATCTTGTTTCATAAGCAGAGGAAGCACTAGATAATCTGGTGAATGTGATGGAAGGACTAGATAATCATTGACTTTTGTATGTATGTGAGCATAACCCATCATATTTCTGTATATCATTATTTTAACCCTCTGTTTTCCAATTTATGGTGAGTGTGGAAATTTGGGTATTTTGTAAACCAATATATTTACAGTTCAATTATGCCTGTAGCCATTTCTGGCTGCTTCCTCATTGAGACTACTCTTCCCAATCCTCAATCTATCTCTAGATTTGTGTCCTTTCTCCTTTTTAAGCTCTTCAGATCAGCTTAATGAGTCAATTAATTTTAAAATAGAAGTTTGTCACCTTCACATTCAAACTTTTCACAGTTGAACCACAAAATTTACCCCATATAAACCAATGAAATAAAACTTTATTTTTCTGCCAAATAACTGGAGTTTTATTAATGCTTGACTCTGGTGGTCTTGTAGAAGACATAAGCACTTAATCATCTCCGTAGTACTTGTTTCATTTTTAGCATTTGGCATTTCATATTTTGTTATTTTACCTCTATTGGATTTTTGCAGTAATGATCCGGTTTTACCTGTGTCACTTTCTTAGACCTTTGCAATATAGATACATTTTTTTTATTAGTCATAATCGAAATTTAACTACCTGCTTATGTGATGCTTTCCATTTTCAGAAAATTACATGGATAGGTCTTGTGAAAGTTAGACAGTCTCATCAGAATAGTGGTGGAGAGTGTAAATTGGCATGTATTCTTGATGAAGTAAGCCAAAATGGCTGTCATATAACAATTGTTGGGCATACGGCTTGTGAAGCAGCTCTTCAGATATCTAGATCTGCACAAACATATACTATGATTGAGCATGCATCTGTTGTTTGGGAATATCTGAAAGGAAGAATTCTTCCAGGGGTTCTCGCGATGGACAGAGTATGATCTCTCTCTCTCTCTCTGTTTTTTGGTCAAATTAGCTTTTTCTAATAGAATTAATTGTTTTAGTTTTCATTCTATGGCTAGACAGCCTATTAGATTCCATTGATTATGCTATCAGCTTCTGCGTGTAATAATTGGATTCATAAATTAGCTTGACATCCTGAAAAGATTGAAGTTTTGTAGTGGTATACAATTTCTGTGACCAACTTACGTGTATGTCATTTGAGTATTTTTTTACTATCTGGACTTTTAGATGACAACTACTGCCATTGGCTGCACCAATTGCCCAATTGGTGCTTCACTGATTATTCTATAGGACCTTTTAGGTATACCATTTGTCAGTCTTTCATACCATTCACTGAGGATCCTCATTTATCAGTTTTTCATTTGTTGATTACGATTCTAAAAAGGGTGTTACAGTATGTCGAAGGGATCGAAAGTGTATTTGGCACACTAAGCTGTTAAGGTGACTGCTATAATAAACAGTTAGGGTATTACAGAGGAAGTTCAAGACAATTTGTAGCACTTAATAAGAGTATAAATTTCATTTTCATCCTCAACCGTAATAATACTTCAAAGGAATAAATGTAAACGAAAAAAAAATTTGCCCTATCTTTTAGCTGGTGTTTATCCTAAAGGAAGTCAGATTATAGATGTTTATGCTCAAAGGAGCTGTTTAATGGTGCTAAAACTTGCAAGGTTTTACCCTAAAGTTGGATAGAGATGGCATTAGGTATATAGCTACTAAAAGTTCAAGAGATCAATGGTCAATCAGATTTGAATCCTAGGTGGCTTTGGGTCAATTAGTTCTTACTTTTATACAGTTTTGTCAGCATGGTAATTACTAGGGGAAAACTTGTGGGTTAGTACTTTGAAGGGTGATTGGTTGAGTGATTCAATCTCTCGTATCCGTTCACACTTGTCGGTTATGGGCATAGTAAAAAAGTCACAAGAGGTGCTAAACTGCTGATAGGAACTGTTGAAGAACTTTATTTGGATACCTGGTAGTCTAGCCCCCCCCCCCTTGATTGCTGGGTGGAATTCTATACTCATGTTAATATTCTTTGTCAATTCACTTACTATCACTTAGGCTTTTGGAAACTTAATATTGGACTGTTTGACCTTAAACTGAGTATGGCAACGAATGGTTTGTATAGGTTTAGTTTATTCACATTGAGGTTTAGCCTCCATTTTTTGCATAAAAAAAGAAACAAAATATTTTTAGTTCCCTGAAAGTAGAAGCAATTTGGCTATCGCGTTTGTTCAAGTTAAAAAAAAAAAAAAGTAAATATTGAAATATATTTTAGGTTACACCATTTTTCTTAATCACATTTCTTTATATTCTATTAATAAAAAGCATGTTTTCAAAGTTAGTATGAGATAGTAGAAAGTCAATTTGCTGTAATTTTATGATATCAGAGAAAGTATTTGCTGATGACGTTCTCAACAAAGGCATTTAGGACTTCCCTGCTGCCCTGCCCCCCATTTTTCTTTCTCTAGAATCATTTAAGTAGATTTTCAAGAGAATCAAAGGAAAATAATCTGCGGTCATGCTTGTTTGATATTGTTTTTCTTGCAATATTTTCCTTAGTGTCTTTGGAGAATCAATAAGAAAACTACAAAGGAGTATGAGGATTTTTTGTGGGGTCTTAGGTAGGTGAAGAATTTAGCCATTATTGAGTTGATGACAAAAGAGCTACATGTGATTGGCTAGCTCTTTTAAATATGCTTTCTGAAAATGAACAATGGTTCAAAAAGAGAATTGTTTCATTAAACATCCTATAACTAGATTAATTCTGAGATGTTATTGCAAGTGATGCTTTCATGGGCATGTTTCGGATGATAAAGCACTAGTTTCTGCTTTTAAATCTTTGAAAAAAATATCTGCTTCTTTAATGGGTTTTAAAAGTTGCTCTTAGGGAGAGATATAGTTTATGAGATTTTGGACAGAAAGATCTTTTATATTTTGTGATCACTATCTGAATCTTTGCTGTGGAAATGGATAAGCTCTCAGAGTTTAGTACATTTAAATTCTTCATTATTTTTACAGATTTGATGAAAAAGTGTTAACTTTCAAGGGATTATGGTACTAGAGAGTTTGAGTGTGTTGAGAGTTCATAATCCCAGAGAATCTACTTAAAGTCATTCTCCTTCAAATGCCCACACTTAAGATTACCCCTCTTGGAACTACCATTTACAATTGCGAGACCACTAAGAAGCTTGGCTTTCGCTTGATTTACTTCCTTAACATAATAAATAAAATAATTTTGGAATTTAATAGTGGTTTCAAAATGACATCTCTTGTTTATACGTTATTTTTCGTTATGGGAAGACTTATGAGCATCCATCTTTGCAGAATTATTATTTTTGAACCGGTCCATAGGAGGTAACACGTTTGGGTGCTTTAGTGAGAAGAAATTATCTATTTATTTTTTATTTTTTAAAATAATACTCCCTCCGCTCCTAATTGATTTTCCTATTTGAAATCTTTAGAGATTGTACGACTTATGGAGTCTAATACTTTAAGGATAAATATATACTTCAAAAAAGTCATGTGAGATCTTGTTAGATTCGTCTCGATTTATGGTTTCCAAGTTGTAATTTTTAATTTTTTTCCAAAATACTTAGCTTGATAATATTGCATTGGATAATGTGTAAAAATCCAATAGGACAATCAGTTAGGAATGCGGGTAAAATATTGTTGGAAGATAGTGAGAGGCTTTAGAAAACCTGAGGTTTTTCTCTCAAACGAGGGGGAAAAAAACTCAAGTCCTAGTTTATATGTAGTTCTTTACTTGTCCAAGAATTAGCTCTAAACTAATATAGCCTTGTAAAGTTGTAAAAAAGCTTTTTTTATGATAGTGAAACCATTGAAAATACCTTTTAAAAATATAACCTTTTTTTTTTTTTTTTTTTTTTGCATGACTAGATTTTATTTTCTCCTAATTAGTTGATATTCTTAATATTTCTATAATATTCTACATTTTCCTTGCCATTGGAGTGATGCCCGATATATGATGCTTTATAAGTTGTATAAACCAAGGAATAGAGCATACTAATTTGAGATACTTGTTACCCATGGCAAATATTGCAGGCTTACCCATCCGAGATAGAGTGGAACATGGTTTACCCTGATCCTTCTCAACCTTTGGCTGTTGATATTGGAAGTGGTAATTTTTTTCCTCCCTTTTAGGTTTACATGTTTATAGAGGTTCTAGAAATAAATTCACTATTAGTTAAGCTAATAGATTAGTGCCCGTGCGATGCACGATATTAATAATCTTTTTTCCCATAATTAATTTGTGATATAATATAAAAATGAGGCAGTTTATGTGGAATAAACAAATGCAATGCATATAAGAAAGATGAAATAATAAGGAAAAAATTATTAAAACCACAATTGTGAAAAAAAAAAAATAAATAAAATTTTGATTAGTTGTGTTGAAAATATTTTAAAATAGTGTACTTGATATTATATGAATGATGCATGTTATTCCCAATAAAACTATACAATGTAAATGTCGTATGGCTTTTTATAAATGAATTAGTTTAGGAAGAAAAAAAACAAGAAACCTATACAATGTACTTCCAAAAAATAAGCTAAGTAAAATAATTTTTTACTTATATTTTTTAAAAAAACTTAAAGCTGACATCATATATTTTAATGTCGGGAAATTTTTTAATGATAGCTTAACATATGTCCAAGATGATCGATGTAAGCATGGCCTATTTTAATAATAGTTAATAGATTTTTTTAAGGGAAAAAAATGTTATAAGTTGGTAAAATTATTATAGAAATTTTTAACAGAATACTCACTCAATTATTATTATTTCATAAGATTTTAAATCAACACCATGAATAGAAATATATATATATATATATATATATATATATATATATATATATATATTTTTTTTTTTTTTTTCCAATGAGCCCTACTATTGTACAACTATATAATGGTAATTTAAATGTTAATATTGTATTTTTGGCCCCCGTTATTTTATACTCTCCATATTTCAACCTTCTAAATTATAGCTTATTCTCCATCAATTAAAAGGTTTCAAAATCTTGTGTAACTATTTTATGTAAATAGATTACAAAATAAAAAGGAATACAATTATTATAAAGATAGAATAGGAATAATATATTATTATAGTTGTATTATCCAAATATTCCAAAAAGATTTTTACTAAAAAGGGAGAGAGGAGTTTTGGAGAGAAAAAACAACACCAGGAAGTGACACGTGTCATTCTTGGTGTTTATTTTAGTATTATGTTATTGATTGGCTAATTTTGCACAAGGAAAATACATAGCTATGGTGCCTTTTCCTATGAGTTAGGTGCTTTATAACTTATAAGCTATGAAATGGGTTTTGTTGACAAGGTGGCCTTGGGCCTATGCTCTCTTCACCATATATAAGGTGTTCTCTTAGTTTAAAATGCATGCCAAGGCATGTCTAGGCGCTAGGCTAGTCAATGCTTGCCTTGAACATGAAAGGCAAAAAGCAAGCCAAGGTGCGCTTCTTTCATCACCTTTGACGAGGCATAAGGCGATGCACATAGGCCGCCCTTTGTTCCATAAAGAGTAGAATGTGAGATTAAATCAAAGGAAAAACACAAATTTGCATCAAATTAAATGTTATCAATGCTTTTAAAATGCAACTAGTGTTTAGCCCGTGCAATGCACATAGTATTTTTTTTTTTTTTTTTTTTTTGGGAAATTATCTTTGGTAACACCTAATTTTTTCTTTCTTTGGTAAATTATAAAAAAACTTATTATCTTTGGTAACATTGTGTTATTACCAAAGATAATAACTATTTTAATAAAAAATCCTTAACCATTGTTAGTTTTTTAATTTTTTTCAAAATTAAATTATTGGGAAATTCTCTTTGGTAACACTATACTTTTTAAATTTCTTAGTGGTGAATTGCGAAAAATCTTATTATCTTTGGTAAACCTAAAAAGTTTTTATATTAAGTCAATTATAACATCAATGATGAATTTTAACTAAATACTTAACTATAGTTATTTTATTTTTTTTTTTTTACATTTATTTTAGAAATATTTTTTTTTTTTAAAAAAAAATTCACCTATCTCCTCAACAACCAGCCGCTGCCCACGCCACCAATAACCCCTCCCTCTGCCGGCGGCCAAGCGCTCCACCCCCGGCCGGCGGACGCCCAGTCTCCCCTATTTGCCGACCGAAAACCCTAAAACCCACCCAAAAACACCAAGAAACACCCAAACCCGTTGGGGGTTTCGAAACCAAACCCAGGAAATGGGTTTGGTTTTCTGGTGGTTTTGGGTGGGTTTTAGGGTTTCCGTGGTCGGCTCACAAGGGAGAGGGTTTGTCCGGGAGGGAAAGCGGTTTTCGTGGTGGTTTGGGGTAAGATTAGGGTTGGCGGGCGGCGCTGGGGAATGGGAGGACGTGGGGGTCAGGGTAAAGGGAAAGACAGGAGGGGGGAGGCTGGGCGTCGCCGGTTGGGGGTTGGGCACCTGGCCGCCGCCGGCAGTGGTGCTGCTGCCTGCTAGTGGTCAGGGGTTTGTTTTTTTTTTTCTTTTTTCTTTTTTTTTTTTTTTTTTTTTTTTTTTTTTTTTTTTTTTTAGGATGTAAGGGATTTGGGTTTAATATTAACCATGGTTAGTGAATTTATATTAAAATAGTTATTCTCTTTGGTAATCAATAATTCAGGTTTACCAAAGATAATAAGATTTTTCGCAATTTACCTAAATTATTTAATGTAATTAAAAAAAAAAAAACAACCCATCCTTCCCTCACCAGCCACCTTTCCCCCGCCAATCCAGCCCCCTCCTCTCCCATTGCCGGCGCCCAAGCACCCTCTTCTACCGGCAACACAACCGCCTCAAGAAACCCTCCACTTTCAAACCCCAAATACCTACCAATCTACCATCCTAAAACTACCACCACCAATCTACCAACGCGCACAGCAACAGCGCTTCGAATCCCAATTATCTCTCCATTTTAACTTCCTCAAATCTTTCAAATCCCCACTTTCTCTACCAATTTTCTTTCGTTGTATCGTCACCTAATCTAAACGGGTTTGCTTTCGGATGGGGGTTTAGGGTTTGGGGGGCGTTTTTTGCGTTTTTGAGGTGGGGGGAAAGGGAGGAGATGCCGTTTTGGGTTCCATCTCTGTCCATGAGATCGTCTTCTTCTAGTTCGAAGTCAACTGCTTCAACGGGGGCCACCATTGTTAATGCTTTGAGTGGTTGTTATTGATTTTCTCTCTCCTCGGTTGTAAGGTAAAAAGGAAGAGGGTGTAATGGTGGGGGGCGTCATCAGGGGATGGGGGGGGGTAGGAGGCTGGGTGGTTGGGTGCTGGCGAGGGAGGGGCACTGGTTGGGTGCTGGCCGAGGAGGGGCTGAGTGGCGGGGGGCATCGATGGAAGGGGTTGGTGGTTGAGATGGGAGGGATTGTTGGCCGTTAATGTTTTTCTCTTTTTTTGGTGAGAAATTTTTTTTATATTATTATTTTTATTATTTACAAAAAAAATTAACTTAAAAAAAAAATTTAACTATAGTTAAAATTTAATGAAAAAATTAGTAAAATAATCATTAATGTCCTAAGTGACAAATATCAGTAATTCAGGTTTACCAAAGACAACAAGCTTTTTTACAATTCATCAAAGAAAAAATTAACAAAATATAGTGTTACCCAAAAGGATTTTTTATTTTATTTTGTTTTATTTTATTGTTTTTATAATAATAATAAAAATAAAAAATTAGATTTTGAAGGATAGAAAATTTTCAAGTGTAACTTTCATTTCTCCTAAAAACCCATGATGTCATTGATAAACTATGATGTTGTGAATAGGAACCATGACTATAAGACAATTTTGTTAAATAGCATAATTAACAAATAACTTGAAAACTATTTTGACATTATAGATGCAACAAAGAGACATATTCATGGGGCGGTAGTTTGTGTTTTACACCTAAATTCACAACAATTTTTTTTTTTTTTTTTAAAAAAACCAACTTTAATTAAACCTGTATCAAATATTACATATAAAACACTAAAAGCCTCTTAAAGCTCCAATCCACTCTAGAGTTAGCACCCTAGAAAAAGATTAACAATGCACCAAACCAGATATGTCGTTCCAGTCTCCCAGGTAAGTCTTGATCTAGGTCAAGCCTTTTTCGGCCCTCATTTATGGACATCAAAACAAGTTACCCTACAATTGTATACGTGTGGAATCACGCCTCAACAAAAATGGAGGCCTCGTGCTAAGTCTTAAGAGTAGGCCCTCATATTTTTTTAGAATTCATATATCTTCCATGGAAGCTAGTTTTGTTTAAGGAAAAAATATGATGAAGAAATGAATTACACCTTTTTTATGTGAAAATGGGGAGTGAAATGACCGATTGACAAAATTGCAGAGAGAAAGAAGCTGATTATATATATATACAAGCAAAATGACAAAAAAAATATAAAAAAAAAATAGAAACAAACTCATAAAGTAGTACTAGTAGAGAGAGAAACTAAACAGTGGAGGCCTTTTTTTTAATCTTTTGTTGTATATGTTATGAAATAATAAGTGGATGACTATTATCCATAAACTATCTAGAATATTCTAGAGTTGGGTATTTGATTTTATATGAGGAAACCCTACATAATATACATGTATATATATCCTATACTAGATGAAATAATATACACAACAAAATTCCCTCATATATCTCTCTATATTCCTTTTTTTAATCTTTTATTGTATATGTTATGAAATAATAACTGGATGACTATTATCTATGTAGTGTAGAATATTCTAGAGTTGGGTATTTGATCTTATCCGAAGAAACCCTAGATAATATACATGTATATATATTTTGTACTAGATAGAATAATATACACAACAAAATTCTCTCATATATCTCTCTATATTTAACACGTTATTAGCACCATATTATTCGAATAAGCAAACGTAAGAAGGAATCCAGCCATGTTAATATTGTTGGAGCTAAGAATGCAAAACACATGGAAATAACATAGGAAAACAATACTGCATTCTCATTCACATACTCTAACTGAGTCATGCCTTTTATAGGCTACAAAAGTAACCGACAAAATAAATAAAAAGCAACTAATTGGCATGCAAATCCTAATTACGTGGGATTGTTGTTGATATTGCCCATAATTCTAGCCCACTACTACCACTACTAAACTTTTTAGTTTTACTAAGTAAATAATAATATTAATTACTAAAAATAAGGAAACCAATATAATTAAATTTGAAGCATATAACTTCATCACACCCCCTTGCTTCGAATTTGGAGTAATCATTATGAAGAACCTCTCTTCATTTGTGATGCACGTCTCACCACTTTCGATCTTCATTTGTTGATGCACATCTCACCAACATACTCTTTGGATTCGGAGCACTTCTCTTCATGGTGCACTTTTCACCCACAACTTCAAAATAAATTTTCTTCCATGGCCACTTGTGCCATGGTCTCTTGCTCTTCACCTTTGGACTTACAATTCCTTGCCATAAGCCCAAATTTTTTACAATTAAAGCACTTAGCTTTCTCCTTATGCCACCAATTTTGTGACAAATGTTGCATAGAAGGGACTTGCCTTTCGCCTTTTGATAAGGAGACTTTGCTAGAAAAGCTTTTTCACCTTTGTTTTCACCATTTTAATTTCTCATGGACCTCCTTTGATCCACCGCATGTAGTGAATTGATCGACTCTGAAACTGTGAACTTTGAAAAATCTTTAGTATCTTCAATTGAAGAAAGTTTAATTTCATACCTTTCCGGAAGACTAACAAGAAGTTTGTCCACCACTCTTTGATTGTCAAATTCTCCACTAAGTAATTTGATTTGATTTGCGATGGACATTAGCTGACTCCCGTATTCCTTGACACCTTCACTACTATTCACTCCCATCATCTCAAACTCCCTTTAAGGTTCAAAATTTGCATTAATTTTGTTTGTTGATTTCCTTCAAATTCCTCTTTAATTTTCTCCCATGCTTCTTTGGGAGATTCACAACCCATAATAGTTGTGAAAATTTCTTCTGACACGGCCCCATGTAGACACACAAGTGCCCGTGGCTTTCTAGCCATCACTTCATCATATTTTTTAATTTGGACTAGTGTGGGATTTTGAAATATCACTCTCAAAACTCACAGCTTTCAAATAGGATTTCATTTTAATAGCCCATGATTGATAATTTTCACCTTTGAAAATGGGAATTGAAAGAGAAAAATTGTTTGAGGACACTTTGGTTGTTGTTTTTTTTTTTTTTTTTTTTTTTTTATGAACACTCAAAGATTTGTAAAACCTCACAACCCTAAGAGTCAAATGGCTCTGATACCAATTTTGTTGGAGCTAAGAATGCAAAAAACATGGAAATAGCGTAGGAAAACGATACTGCATTCTCATTCACATACTCTAATTGAGTCATGCCTTTTATTGGCTACAAAAGTATATGACAAAATAAATAAAAAGCAACTAATTGGCATGCAAATCCTAATTACGTGGGATTGTTGTTGATAGTGCTCGTAATTCTAGCCCACTACTACCACTACTAAACTTACTAGTTTGACTAAGTAAATAACAATATTAATTACTAAAATTAAGGAAACTAATATAATTAAATTTGTAGCATATATCTTCATCAAATATTAGCAACTTTACAATTCCTCCGCTAGAAGAGTGAATCATGTCAAACCTTGCAAAACTCGAATTTGTTGCTTGATATTACCGGAAACAACTACAACAACTACTATGTGTCTGGTGATACTATCAAAGAAAATAATAAAGCAACAAGCCAAGACAAGGCTAAAGCTATAATATTCTTTCGCCATCACCTTCATGAAGGCCTTAAGACCGAGTAATTAGCTGTTAAAGACCCACAAGTCCATTGGAGTAATCTAAAGAAAAGGTATGACCACCGGAAAAACTGTAATATTACCAAAAAATTCGTTATGATTGGTTACATTTAAGATTACAAGACTTTAAGTTTGTGAGTGAATACAACTCAGTCATGTTTAGAATTACATTACAATTGAAATTATGTGGAGAGAAAATCACGGATGTAGAAATGTCAGAAAAAACATACTCTACTTTTCATGGAAACAATGTTGTCCGGTACACACAATATCGTGAAAAAGATTTCAAAAAAATATTCTAAATTAATATCTTGTCTCCTTGTGGTTGAGCAAAATAATGAACTATTATGAAAAATCACGAATTACACCCTGAAGCAAATGCCGCATCCCATGGTGGGAAAGAGCTTAAGGCTAGGTCAGGGTCTTGGTCATGGACGTAGATATGGTCGTGGTCCAGGTGGTCATTTTAGGAACTCGTTCTCTCACCAAAAGTGGGATAATAAAGACGGAAACAAGAATGAAAAGGATAAAAATGAAAATATATGATACCGTTGTGGAGTTAAAGGCCATTGGTCACGTGTGTGTCGTACACCAAAACACCTTGTGGACCTTTATCAACAATCTATCAAGCAGAAAGGAAAGAAAGTGGAAACAAATTTGGTGTACGAGGATGGCGAAGAGGATTTCGATTATGGTGATACAACTCACCTAGAAGCGGCTGATTTTTTTTACTACTCTTGAAGAAAATAATTGAATAAATTATGATCCGTTGACGAATAAACTCTATTAGCTTACATTTATTTTATTTTATTTTATTTTAGTACTATGACTTTTTGAATTATGGGACATTTTTTTAGACTTTTATATTTTCGGATATTTCATTATTATTACTAGTCATGTTATTAATTTAAGTTATGTTATTTGTTTTTGTGAATCTTATTTAATTCCTTTATTTCAAATAGAATATGGATCCCTTTAAAGATCAATCATTAACCAATGGTGAGGATTTATTTAATTCCTTTATTTCAAGTAGAATATTTTTAGCTGTTGATGATGAAAGAGATTAGTGTGAGTACTATATCAAGCAGTACCAAGATTATAGAAGGCTCTAGGAGGGTAATTGTTTTATTGCCAAGGGGAGCAAAATTGGAAATTATTGATGCATTATACTCCCCTAAGTCTTAAAGAAATTTACTAAGTTTTAAAGATATTCGACAAAATGGATACCACAATGAGACAATTAGTGAAGGAAATAATGAATTCCTTAAAATCACGAGTATAACTTAAGGCAATAAATCACATGCTATAGTAAATTAGAAGTTTATTGACGACTTTTAAGTTTGGCATGACTGGTTAGGCCATCCCGGTTCAATAATGATGCGAAAAATAATTGAAAATTCATGTGGATGCTCATGAGCCAGCAAATTCTTCATACTCCTTCCGTGTTTTAATAAGCGTTACACTTACCAAATGCGGCCGTGTTTTACTGTTACACTTCCTTTTTTGGCAAAAAGCTACATTTTAATATTATATCTCTCTCCTCTCATGGTCCCCACCCGAATCCTCTACTACTTTTTTATTATTTTCTTTCCTCTCACGTTCATTACTTTTCATTCCCCACTTACAATTTTTAAGTCAATTAAACGACTCCACTTCTTATTTTATTTAAGTCAATTACTGCCTAAAATTATGTGACGATCAAAGTGTAACACTTACTAAAACACGGAGGGAGTAATAATTTTTCATGTGCTTCTTGCTCAATTAAAAAGTTAATACTCCGACCATCATCGGCCACTTTTCTGGAACGTATATAAGGGGATATATCTGGACCAATTCATCCCTCGTGTGGACCATTTGGATACTTCATGGTTTTAATAGATGCATCAACTAGATGGTCACATGTATCATTGTTATCAACTTGCAACCTAGCATTTGCGAGACTACTTGCTCAATTAATCAGATTACGAGCACATTTTTATACTTTTCTATCAAGGCTATTCGTCTTGCCGGTGAATTCACATCCCAGGCCTTTAATGAATATTGCATGTTAATTGAGATTAGTGTTGAACATCCTGTAGCACATGTTCACACACAAAAAGGATCGAACTTAAACTGATACCGTGAAAAAGTTTAATCGGTGTCTTTTCATTAGTAAAGCCAGCGTATATGTACAAAGTACTAGAGATTCCTTAGCCAAAGATTAAGGAACTAACTAGCTATAAATATGCACAAGATATATACTTAACAAACTTAAGATGTATACAATATAAACAGAATATATTCATCACATATTCTATCCCGGAGAGGATGTAGTGTTCTTTTTGGTATATAGTCTCTAATATATAAACTCACTAATGTATTACTGTCACTGACTAAAATAGCTTATCATTATGCCACAGAAGAGTGTGAAGTTCCTACCACTGACTAAATGTTTACAATTATTGCAGGAAATGGATTATTTCTCATGGGAATGGCTAATATGCGGAAGGATTTAAATTTTCTTGGTCTAGAGATTAATGAAAAGGTTATTACATGCTCCCTTCCAATTCAGTGAACCCCCAAATTGGCTTATATGCAGATATATATATTAAATCTCCCTCTATATAACTTGTTTCAGTTGGTCAAACGCTGTCTGGAGTCTGCAGATGAATCAGGACTGAAGAATTTGTATGTAAAACTGATTCCTTATATATGGAGTATTGCTTTATGAATGTGCAAAAATTTCTATATAGCTAGATTGCTTTATGAATGTGCAAAAATTTCATTAATTAGCTATATATAGGGGAAGGCTCTCGTGGGAACCCCTCTAACATTCCCAACTGTGTCCCATCTTTTCTAAATATGCCTATCTACTAATTGATAAACTGTGAATAGTCCTTTTGAGTCCCAAATTGGTCTCTTGTGACTTACAACTTGTTAAATAGGTAAACTATTTTTTTTCCCAGGTTTCTTTTCCTAACCACTTTTGTTCATCACCAAGTGTCCAACCATCCTCCCTTGCTGTCCCTCCCCTCCTCATATCAACCACCACACACACGCCCGATCAGGCCCACTACTATCTCCCACTGCTACAGCTACCACATGTAGATCATCTGTCCTAACCACTTTTGTTCATCACCAACTGTCCAACCATCCTCCCTTGCTGCCCCTCCCCTCCTCATATCAACCACCACACACACGCCCGATCAGGCCCACTACTATCTCCCACTGCCACAGCTACCACATGTAGATCATCTGTCCTTCCTCTTCCCTTCCTCTACCACAGATTTTACTCTGGCCTTCATCCCGATTTATTGTCACCGTTCATTTATTCCTTGCTATGGCTGAATCATCAAGTTCTCATTTCATGAATTTGTTGTGGTTTGTAAAATCCACAAACCCTTTCTCATGATTATATCTTGTTTTTCAAAAGCAAATTAACAAAATGCTAACTCCTCATCTTCATAAATATCCATGTGCATGTTCTTGAAATTTTGGAAGAAGTTATATCAAAGGGAATAGAAAGGTCTTAGGCTAAAGAGAAAGGGGAAGGATAAGGGTTGCTAATGGAAAAGGATGGGATGTGGGTGGAGAGTAAGGAATGTGATTGTGCTACCGTAAGGAATGTAAAGATGAGAAAAATATCGAGAAAGGAATAAATAAAATATTCTCAAAGGAAGAACAGTTTGCAAAACACGATGTTTTAAGGAAAAAAGAATGAGAAGCAAAAAAATGTATACATAAAGTTATGTTATGTGCTTATGCTGTGTGCATATATTTTCAACCACTACCCTGCCTCGTCCAATACACTATTTCCCTTAGTCTCTCATAGACTCATGTCCACTCCTAATCACCTTCTAATTTTTTTTTGTCTTCCTTTACGCCTAACCCTTCACAATCCCATTGCTTTGCTACTCTTAAAGCCTTTTATCGTTCATCATTTAATCTTTGTTTTACATGGAAAAATTACTCTTATTCTCAATAGGTGTAATTCTTATTTTCTTTCTTATTATCTTATTCCCAAACTAGTCTGTTTTCGTACGGCCACACATCCAATATAGCATTAACATCTATGCTTCAATCTTCTTATAAAGATGGCAACGCTTCACGTCCTAACATTTTGTTCCATATAATAGGGCATGCCTAATTATTGATGGAATATATATTCCTTTCAATCTATGGGAAATGCTAGGGTCACCCCTATAGCACTCTTCTTGTTCAACCAACATGTTGCCATCTAATTGCCCTACATTTTGGGTAATTGTACTTAGATGACAAAAGAAATTACTCCCTCTATGCCACATTACTTGCAACATTTTGACTAGACACGCTTAGCGATGCACATGTTTAACCCGTTGATATCTTTTATTATATATTTGTAAAAGCTAGAAAAAGTTTATGTTAAGAAACTATGTTAAATAAAATTACAATTTAGAAAAAGAAATCTAACTAAAAAAAAATAGGACAAGTTTACTCTGTCCTTAGGATAGTATAAGCCCTCTCGTATAATGCTGTTGGGAACAATAATGCTAATTTACCCCATGATTCTCCTATTACTTAGAATGAAAAAATACAGCATAAATTAATCATTCTCCATGGACATGGTATTTTTTGTGGAAAACGTTGAATGATAAAGACGAGGATAAAAACTAATTTTTTTTTAACACTGCCAAAAGATAATATTTATAGAGATTGATATGGCAGTTATTGATCCCAAAATAAATGCCATATAATTTTATCCGAAAATATTAATTTAATTAACTAAAAATTAAATTAACTGGCAATGCTAAACCCGCTTGATTAATCGCGCGCGTGCCATGTGCCTAAGTGCTAGTCTATGACTAGTAAATATACTACTAATCATCCACTAACAAAGCCGTGACCAAAGCCTAATCAAATAGGCCCAAACAATTCAATTACATACAGCACACACAAGTTAATAAAGGCATCTAACATATCTTATTCTTTCCATACATAGAATAAAAATACGGTATCGGTCGCGATCGCGGAAATGGTCACAGTGTTGCAGTAAAGGAAATGATGCGTTCATCGCGGACCGGAACGCGGTTGTCGCGGTAGAAATTTTGTTTTACATCTTATTGGAGCATTATTTATTTTTAAAAATATATTTTTGTTTACCCAATAATTTTCTATGGACATATAAAATTTAATAACTTTCATACGAGTACAATAGTGTAATAACAATAATCATATAAAGAAATCAAAATCACTTATACTAGCAAATGAAGATTTTAATGAGTGAGAAAACTAAAAGTATCTTTATAACATACTTCTATCACGTGATTTGTACAGTTGCTTTCCAAAGAAAAAGAGAATGTGTGGGGTCAACTAGTCAAAAGAAAATAAATAAATAAAGAAACCACCATATATTTGCCAGTTGTCTCCCACTACCATAAATTTTCACCTATCCCCACTCTCTCATTCTCATTTGTCTTCCCCTTTCTCTCTTTCAAATTTGATCTTGCAGTTGTAACAAGCTACAACAATGGTGTTTTAGATGAAAAATCCACAAACTCACGAATTCAAGCTATTTCACGAGCGTTATAAACGTGTATGAATACCTTCCAGAAAGTCCTAATGAAGGACAACAAAAACTACACAAGGAAAACAAGAAAAAAGATACACTTGCATTATGATATATTCATGCAGCCGTGAATAAAATTATATTTCCTCGCTTATATGGATTAAAAAAACCCAAAGAAGCCTGGGATACAATAAACAAGGAATTCTAGGAAATGAAAAAGTTGTTGCGTCAGATTACAAAATCTATGGAGAGATTTTAATAACCTAAAAATGCAAAAGATAAAAAATTAAAGTTTATTTTTCACGAAGAAGTCTCGGTGATACATTAGAAGAAAAAAGAGTTGTTCGAAAAGTATTGAGAAGTATGACCAAAAAATATAATTCTTCCACATTTATAATAGAAGAGTGTAAGGACTTGTCAACTCTTACAATGCATGAGCTAACGGGATCTTTGGAATCACATGAGCAAAAATTGAAAATAAATGCAAATACCGATCAACTTGTAGATCAAGCATTTCAATCCCTAACTTAACATGTCAAACAAACAATATCAAGGAGAGTCGGAGAAAAGAGGGGGATACCAAAGAGGACACCAATTGGTAGAGGTCGTGGTACCCATTATGTTAGCCGTGGCCAAGGACAAAGTTGAGGAAGAGGTCGCGGACAATATCAAAATTATCAACAAAGGTCGAATAATTCTTGTTGTATTTGTGGTAAGTCTAACCATCAATCATCTGAATGTTATTATAGATGTAAAAGATGTCGTAATTCGAGTCATTCTCAAAAGGATTGTTAGCATCAAAATGAAAATAATACAAATGAAGCGAATTTCGCCGCAAATGCTGAAGGTGAAAAATTATTCTTTACGTGCATGGATGCACAAAATAAGTAACAGTTTATGGTTTTTAGATAGTGGTTGTAGCAACCACATGACAAGAAATAAGGACATGTTCATCAAGTTAGATATGGGTGTAGCAAATCAAGTTACCTTAGGTGATGGAAAAAAGGCAAATGTCGAAGGAAGAGGAGTCATTGTTGTTAATAGCAAATTAAATGACACAAAATACTTGCATGATTTTCTTTATGTGCCTAATTTGACACATAATCTCCTAAGTGTTGGCAACTTGTTTAATGAGGATATTCAGCGAATTTCGACAATGGGGAATGCATTGACACATTATTATGGACAAAAAGTTTGGTACTATATTGGCTAAAGTACAAATGGCTGATAATAAAGTTTTCCCACTCCATATGCCACAAAAATAAGCTGGCATTGCAAGCAAATGCTATGGATGAATCTTATCTATGACACTTACGATATGGACACTTGAACCAAAAAGGAATACATCTATTGAAACAAAAAGACATTGTTGAGGGATTACCACACATTGATAGAAATATTTAAGTGAATGATGTATATATGGATCGGAAAAATGCATTGTCTTCCATTCCCAAAGACTTCGCGGAGAGCCAAAGCTCCTTTAAATTTAGTACACGCAGATATATTTGGCCCCACAAGAAATGCATTGTCGATGATTACACTCGTATGATGTGGATATATTTTATCGATCAAAAGTCATATGATTTCAATGTTTTTCTCCTTGAAAGACAAAGTGGATATATGATAAAGACATTAAGAACTGATAGAGGGAGGAATTTATCTATAACCCTTTTATGGAGCATTATAGAAATGAAGGTATAAAAAGACAATTGATAGTCTCTAGAACACCTTAGCAAAATGGTGTAGCAGAAAGAAAGAACCGCACGATTGTAGAAAGGATTTTTTTTACTTTTATCACCAAAAAAAATCAAAAAATTGTTTTTTACCACTAAAACTTCTATTTTACCACAAAAAAAATTCTAAAATTTGTTTTTTACCACCAACCGTCAAGAAAACTGTTAATTCTAACGGTTTACAAAAAATCTTTGATTTTCGTGCGCAAAACATGTTCTTATAGGTTTAGGGGGGCATTTTGGCCCTTTGATCCAATTTGAGGTCAGAATTGACAAAAATAATTAGAAATGCCTCATTTTGCGTGTTTCATGCAAATCGAGGTATTTTTAAGTAGGAACAACAAGTCATTTACGATATTTTTTGTCCATTCTGACCTCAAATTGGATCTATAGGGCCAAAATGCCCCACAAAACCCCTAAAGACGTGTTTGGCACGAAAATCGAAGAATTTAAAAAATTCCGTTAGGTTTACCAGGCAGGTTGTTAAAAACAATTTTTAATTTATTTTTGGTGGTAAAATAAAAGTTTTAGAAGTTTTGGTGGTAAAAAACAATTTTTTGATTTTTTTTAGTGGTATAAGTCAAAAAAATCTTGTAGAAATGGAAAGAAGCATGATGGAAGAAAAGGGTCTTCCTTAAACATTATGGGCCGAACCTGTAAATACAACTATTTACATACTCAACAGTTCTCCTACTAAAGTTGTTCGTAACAAGACTCCCTATGAAGCTTGGAATGGTAAAAAATCAGCTGTTAGTCGTTTGAAAATTTTGGATGTATTGCATATGCCTTGAATAAAGATCAAGGTAAAGACAAGTTTGATCTCAAAAGGAGAAAATATCAGCTTGGAATGGTAAAAAATCAGCTGTTAGTCGTTTGAAAATTTTGGATGTATTGCGTATGCCTTGAATAAAGATCAAGGTAAAGACAAGTTTGATCTCAAAAGGAGAAAATATCTTTTTGTGGGATACAGTGATGAATCAAAAGGTTATCGTCTTTTAGACCCACAAGCTAAAAAGCTAATAGTCTCTAGAGACGTTATATTTGAAGAATCGGCAAAATGGAATAGTTCATTTTCCTGGCAAGAAGTAACTATAACTTCTCGTGGCCCAGCTCCAACAACAATAAATGATGCAGTAAACAGTCCGCAAAGATCTCCTAATGTTGTGCCAAATACGAAACAAGAAACCTCATCTTCTCCGGTCTTGAATCAACCAAGAAGAATTAGAAAGAGGCCTTCTTATTTGGATGATTATGAGTGCTATTTATCTAAAGCAAATGAGATGGAAACATTCGCTTTTTTTTGCAAGTGAGCCTTCTAGCTACAAAGAAGCATCAACTCATAATGTTTGGATAAAAGCAATTGATGAAGAAATTGCTATGATTGAGAAAAACAAGACATGGAAGCTTGTTGATTACCCTGAAGGTAAAGATATTATTGGTATAAAATGGGTTTATAAAACAAAACTATACCAAGACGGAAATATTCAGAAACACATAGCAAGGCTTTTTGTCAACGGATATGCTAAAAAACTTGGAGTTGATTTCAATGAGACATTTGCTCCAGTAGCTCGTATTGAAACCATTAGAACAGAAAGAATTATATGTGTACATGTAAAATCCGCATTTCTGCATGGTGTGTTAGAAGAAGTGTATGTGGAATAACCACAAGGATATGAAATTCAAGGCAAAGAAGAAAAAGTTTATCGTTTACATAAAGCACTCTATGGACTTAAACTAGCTCCAAGAGCATGGAATAGTAAAATTGACAAATATTTTATGAATAGTGGATTAAAAAAGAGTCCAAGTGAACCATCACTTTACATCAAAGGAAACAATGATGGGCATTTTCTCATTGTTTGTCTTTATGTTAATGATCTTATCTATACTGGAACTGATATGAAACTCATTAATGAGTATAAAGAGTCCCTGATGCAAGAGTTTGGAATGACAGACTTAGGATTCATGAAATACTTTCTTAGAATTCAAGTAACGCAAACCAAGGGAGAAATTTTCTGTAATCAAGAAAAATATACAGTGGATCTCCTAAAGAAATTTCATATGCAAAATTGCAAACTTTTGAATATTCCTATGGCATTGAATGAAAATTAAGTCAAGATGATGGAGCTAATAAGGTCGATGCTAATGTATACAGAAGTTTGGTAGGTTCTTTACTATACTTAACTCATACAAGACTTAACATAGCTCAAGTAGTGAATATGGTGTCAAGATTTATGAATAATCCAAGCAAACTACATTTTGCTGCCACAAAAAGGATATTATGTTATCTTCAAGGCACCAAGAAAATAGGCATAAGATATAGAACTAAAGAAAATGATAATTTGATTGGATATACAGATAGTGATTTGCTGATTCTGTAGATGATCGTAAGAGTACATCAGCTTACATATTCTGTTTAGGTACTAGAATCATTTCATGGAATTCAAGGAAACAACAAACTGTAGCATTGTCTTCATATGTCAACCACTGAAGCAGCATGTGAAGCAGTTTGGTTAAGAAGAATTTTAAGAGATTTGGATATTGTGCAAGAAAGTCCTACTACAATATTTTGCGGCAATATGTCAGCAATTGCAATGACAAAGAATCTGGTGTTCCATGCTAAAAGCAAACACATTGAGATTCGACATCATTGTATACGCGACTTAGTCAGTGAAGGAGAAATTAAGCTTGAGTTTATTAATAATGTTGATTAATAATGTTGATCAGCCAGCAGATATGCTTACTAAAGCAATAACTTCTGAAAAGTTCGAGAAATTCAAGATGTTAATAAACATTGCAAATTAAGAGGGGGAATTTGTGAGATTAATTTGCAATAAAGAGAAAATAATGGGAAATCTTAAATTAAAATAGTAAAAGGTTATTTTTGTGTAATGAATACAATAATGTTGATTCCATCACCTCTCATATTTTAGCTTGTAATCCTCTATAAAGTTGTAATACTTTATCATATTAAAATATAAGAATGAATAACAACACAATATAATATCTTTAATTCTCTAAATCAATCTCTATTAAAGTATGTGCTGCTTATTCTATATATATATATTTTTTTATATAACTCTTATATTTCCGATCCCTATACCCATTATACTTTCACTATCCTCAACATATATGTCATTATTAATATCAATATATTTCCACAATATAGTTTTTGGTTAAATCCCACCAAAGTATTTTTATTTGTACCTTATCATAGGCATTCTGTACGTCAAAGAAAACCATAAGTAAATCCTTCTTATCCTAATATTTGATCTTCCTATTCTCGAGATCTTCACAATTTTTACAATTGGTTGCTCCCAAAGTTTCATACTTTTATTCTTACTAAAGAGAGTAAAATACTTTTCTAATGGCATTTTTAACTTCCCCAACAATGTCGCCAATCATTCAACTTGACCTTTCTAACCTCAATAGGGATGACATCAGGCCTTTCTTCAATCCCATCTATATCAAAGTAGGGCCTCCAGTTATCCTTAATCTCTTCACACAATTACCTTTCAAATATAATCTCGTTTCTTTGTACTCTCATATGAGCAAGTCTATAAATGTCATATTTTTCAAATCCAGGCTTGCATAAAGGTCTTGATTCAACTTTGCTTTTTCATGTCGTATGACCTTCTTTGGTTCCGTTCTAGCTTCTTTATCCTCTTTATACTTCTGTTTGTTTTCAATCCTCTAACAATTCTCCAACATATATTGTAGAACACGTGTTTGATCTTTTTCACTTGTCACTCTTCTATGTTTCACCAATGTGCCCGTATTCGGTAGTACACTTATCTCTATCTAGTTTATGCCTTATTGAATATATATCCGAACCCATGTTACATGACCTAATAATTGTAGTGGGTATATTATGTACAATGTTTTTTTGCTTCACCCCTAGTTGCCAGTACTTAATCTTAGGCTCCACTTTGTGGTCTTCTCTGCCTTATACATCTTCTACCTCGAAAATTAAGCATCAAATGTCTATGTTGGGTTGCCTTACTCTCACCTGGGATCACTTTACAATCAATGTTGCTTTTCTGCGAGCATTCCTTCTTTTTAGGGGGGGGGGGAAACCATATTTGGGGACCATTTTAGGAATGTACTCCCCGTAGTTAGGACTAGCCTTAGTTAATCAAAATGTTTGACTGTTTAAATAAAGTTTTCTTTAGTTGGGAAAAGAAAGTTTTCTATAGTTGGGACTGTTATAATCAAATTTTTGCCAAAAACTGAAAAATTAAATAATAAAAATAAATTTAAAAAAAGTTAAAGGCACAAAGGGGGGTCTGGTTACCTATGCAAAAGAGCCATAACTTTTTCAGCTCATCTATTTAGTTGATTGTCAAAAATTATTTGAGACCCTGTTTATCTGCCCAATCTATCTGATAAGACATTTGCACATATATATACACTTGGCCCGTGATTCTGTAAATCTAGCACCTTATATTAGTCTGTGGTTTTTATGAGATGTGTATTACGGTTTGTCTTGAATTGCATAAGCATAGAACTGAAGTGAAAATAGATGTTCAGGCTTGAGTACGATTATAATCCTTCTTATGGATAGGAAACAGCACAATTACACTCATCTGAAACAGCAATTTCTATCTATACCACATGCATGACATGCCAATTCTCTTTTCAGTGGCTTTATTCGTATTGTTCAGTCCTGTAACATATTTTCAGACCATTTTTTAATCTAACTTGGTTTTGATTTTGGTTTTATCTGTGATAAGACACTTCATAGGAACAAATGCTACATCATCGTTTCGGACCATTGTCGCCGGTTATCCAGGACGACTCATTCTTGTTTCAATTCAAGTAAGTAAACATAATATTATTTTTATAATTTTCTATATTGATATAAGTTATACCCCACTGTCAGAAATTGTGACTGATAGTGTTTCTAGAGCTGTCATATACTTTCAGCCTTTGGAACAGATTTTTCTTATTTTGTACGTGCAAATGTAAATCTTCCATACCTACATTCTAAGCGATTCTGTGCTTCATTTTTCTTTGTCTAGATTGTGTTATTGTCTCTGTAGGGTTTGCACTCAAGCATTAGCTCTTAAAGTCTTAGTGTATGTGGTAATCATTGTAGCTCCACTAGGTATCCATTAATATGTTTAGTAACTTGGGCTTTAGCTACTTATGCTATATAAAACTCCAGTTATATTTATATATTTCCCCTTACCCTCTTCTCAAGAATTATGTATTTTCTATTAGCAGTAGACTATACACTCCCATGCAATCTGCTCTATCCAGAATACCAAGGCATGGCGAAACTGCCTCTTCACAGGAGCTATTTGAACTGTCAAAACTGGAGCTTAAAATTTTGTAGTGCACCACCTTTCTGTTAATATCCTACAGAATTGAGATATCATGTGTTGTGACAACTGTGCTCGTTTGTATGCTTGTCAATCAACAAATTTCTGTATTAATTAGCATACTTCTGTCAAACTCATTGTATTTAGCAATCTTTCAATGCAACTATGTTGGATTGATGGGTTCTTAAAAAATAGTTTCTATTGGGGTGAACGAACAATCAAATACAATATTGGTGATCTGTATATAATAAATAAAGTTAGTAGACTTGACCTAACTTACCCATACAGATAACTAGTTTCAGATTATCTGCATGAGATCTGAACTCGGCCTGAACCCAGAAACCCAATCTTGTACAAAACTGGAATGGGCTTGATTTGATCAGAATTTATCCAAAACTTAATATGTCTAGAATGAGTGTGTGATTTAATTGATAGTAGACCTATATGTTGAATTCTGTTAATATGAACTAACTAAAAGCTAAATCAAATGCATCATTCCTCAGATGTGACTTACACGCATTAGCCTCAATAGAATACTAAGCTGAATTGCCTGTTTGTTGCATCTTTAAGTATTCAAATATTGATTTGGTACCCAAGCATATTTTTCCTAGACTGTCAAAACTAGATAATGCCTTTTACATGGTGCACTTTGCTCTTGCTCTCTTAGATATGACTGCTTGCTACTTTGTCACATCAAGTTTCATTGTGCTATCTTCGAAATCATTATATATCCAGCATTCCAGCTAACTGTTTTGTTATATTACAGTGTCCTAACCCTGATTTCAATGAACCTGAGCATAGATGGAGGATGGTGAAGAGGTCATTAGTTGAAGCCATAGCCGATGAGCTTGCTGATGGTGGGAAGGTAGAATAATCTTACAGTACCATCTTTACCATTTCCTTTCCTTTTTCTAAATTTTATTTCCTGCGCACCCCTTTATTTCCTACTTGCTGTACAACAACTGGCACGGCTACTTTTTGACAGAATACCTTATTGTTTTGAATCACTATGTTTATGTTGGAGGGCTTGACCGCGTGAGGGAAGGGGGTGGACATCTGTAAGCTGTTAAATTGTTTACAATTCACATATTCCGTATTTGGACGATATATATCTTTGCTGCTTCTGTAAATTCAATCCTTAGTCTGCTGCTATATTTTTGACATTCAAGCTGACATATATAAGCTTCCCCGTCCCCCAATTCTTTGTCAAATTGTAGGTGTTTCTTCAGTCAGATATTGAAGAAGTTGCGATGAGAATGCGCAAGCAGTTCTTAGATGAAGGAAAGAGTAAGCTTGTCATTGCCTATGATAAGAATATGATAGCAGGCCCAGGAGGATGGCTTAAAGAAAATCCATTTGGAGTTCGGTCTGATTGGGAACGACATGTCCTTGCTCGCGGGGCTCCTATGTATAGATTGATGTTGTGTAAAAGATAGCTGGTAATGTAGAAAGGCAATAATGTTCATTTGATGGACAAGAATATGTTGGACACCTAATAATATGACGCCTAATAATATTATTTTGACATTCGAATAACTACCAGGCACCAATCACAGGTGATGTTCTAAATTTTAATTGTTATAAGTTTTACTTATTGATAATAAAAAATATTATTGGTTAAAGTTTTGCATTGGCATACGTATCTAGAAAAAACATTTCAATTAAAAAAAATATGCAGGGAGTACTAATTATCTTACCCCATATTAAAACATAAAGATAAGAAGATTTGAAGACCTAACCTCTTGTAACAAGGATGACTATGTAACCATCTAAGCCAACTATTATGTTATAATAAGAAGAAAAAAAAAATGTATATAACTGCAAACCAGGTTTAAATACAAAAAGAAAAAAAAAGACACATAGACATTCCCAGGAAGCCAAAAGATACAAAAGAAAGGACCTATGTTTACTAATTTGCAATACTATTTCAATTTAGTGTAAAATGACTTTAAATTAAATAATCTTTGCTACAACACAATAATATTCCAAGTACCAAAAAAACATAACAATGGCGAAAAACAAAAAAAATAATTTATGACGGTTAGTTTGTTGATTTCAGTTTTGAAAAGTCTTAAATTTTTTTTACCATTTCCACGACTGTAAAAGTAGCAATTGAGGCAATTATCGGGCTATTCACTAGTGGGTATTGAAGTTGTGTAACACTAGACTATATTTTTTCTTACATATAACGGTATAAGTCACTAACATTATTCAAAGTGATTTAAATAAATAGTGTAAACTCAAAGAGGTGAAGCAGCAGGGGGTGTCTCGTGACTCTTGTGAGAAGAGTCTTGAGTTGGAAAAACTTCTCGATGATCTTCATTCGAAGCATGAAGCTTACTGGTTTTTGTGTTCGAGAGTGATTGAGGTTAGAGACGGAGATCGCAACACATCTTATTTTCACCACAAAGCCTCGCAGAGAAGGAAGAAAAATAGGATTGAAGGCCTATTTGATGCTGATGGAACTTGGCAGAATGATGAGCGCAAATTGGAGGAAATTGTGTGTAGCTATTACAAGAACCTGTTCACCTCGTCAGAGCAGAATGAAACGAGTATCTATGAGGTTTTACAGCATGTGAAGCCTGTTATTTCAGAAGATGACAATGCAGAGTTGCTCCGGCCATATTTGAAGGAAGAAATATTTCTCGGCACTGCAGCAGATGCACCCTTGCAAGGCCCCAAAATTTTGGCATATTGTAGGTGATGATGTGACTAATTTTGTTAGTAGTATTTTACAGGGTTTAGTTCCCCCGAGCTCTGTAAATAATACTACTATTGCCTTGATTCCGAAAATCAACAAACCTACTTTAATGTCTGAATTTAGACCCATAAGCCTCTGCAATGTATTATATAAATTGGTGTCAAAGGTTATTGTGCTTAGGCTAAAAAGTATCCTCCCTTCTGTTGTGACTGAGAGCCAAAGTGCTTTTGTGCCGAGCCGTTTGATTACTGATTATGCCCTTATTGCTCTTGAGTTGTTTCATACGATGAAAAAAATCGGGGTAGAAGAGGTACTATAGCATTGAAGTTGGATATGAGCAAAGCCTATGATCGTGTTGAATGGGGCTTTCTCAAAAAACTCCTTCTCACTATGGGGTTTGATGGTAGATGGGTGAACCTGATTATGGACTGCGTGATGTCTGTTTCGTACTCTTTTATTGTTAATGGAAGAGTATGTGGTGATGTGCCTCCCTCCCGGGGGCTTCGACAGGGGGATCCTTTATCCCCTTATCTGTTTATCCTAGTAGCAGATGCTTTTTCTCACATGTTACATAATAAAGTGCAGGGAAAAGAGTTTCACTAGGCAAAAGCTAGTAGGAGTGGTCCCATTATTTCACATCTTTTGTTTGCAGATGATAGTTTGTTGTTTGCTAGAGCCAACCGACGAGAATGCGAAGTTATAGTTGATATACTCAACACTTATGAAGTAGCATCTGAGCAAAAAATTAATTATGAGAAATCGGAGGTGTCTTTTAGCAAAGGTGTGAGCATCGAGCAAAAGAGTGAATTAATGGGTGTTTTGAATATGAGACTAGTGGACAGATATGAGAAGTAATTAGGGATTCCAATAATTGTCGGAAGATCTAAAAAAGCAATTTTTGAAGCTATAACTAATAGAATTTGGAAGAAATTGCAGGGTTGGAAAGAGAAGTTGTTGTCTAGAGCTGGGAAAGAAGTGCTGCTGAAATCAGTAATTTAGGCGATTCCGACATACTTGATGGGTGTTTACGAATTCCCTATTTCTGTCATTCAGAGTATTCGGGCAGTGATGACAAGATTATTTTGGGGTCAAAAAGGTGCTCGCCGGAATATGCATTGGAAATCATGGGATGGTATGTGTGTACCGAAGTGCTTTGGAGGAATGGGCTTTAAAGATCTTGAAATATTTAATGATGCATTACTCGGCAAGCAGGCATGGCGGCTTATTCACAAAGAGGATTCTCTCTTGAGTCGAGTTCTGAAGGCAAAATACTACCCCAATTCCTCCTTCCTTGATTCTTATTTGGGAGTTGGCGGGAGCTACTCATGGAGGAGTGTAAGGAGTAGTAAATCTCTTGTGAAAGAGGGAGTTATCTGGCGCATAGGGAATGACTCGAATGTTAATGTTTGGAGCGACCCTTAGCTTGCTGACGCGGAAGGGCGGTTTGTGACAAGCCCGGTTGTTGAAGGAATTACGAAAGTGAGTGACTTGGTTGACTTAGAGAATATGGAATGGAATTATGAGGTCATTTCTACAACCTTCAATGATCAAGACCAGAAGTGTATCCTGTCAATCCCATTGAGTTCAAGAGCACCTAGGGACATCATTACCTGGGCGTTTTCGAATGATGGACTTTACTCTACTAAGACAGCGTACATGCTTGGGAAGGGGTGCAATCTTGATGAGTATCATCGAGCTTGGGTGACAATATGGGGGATGGAAGCTTCGCCCAAAGTTCGTCATTTCTTCTGGCGTTTTTGTTCGAATACATTGCCGACGAAAGCTTTGTTGAAGCAAAGACACCTTCTGGAAGATGCCTCTTATCCTTGGTGTGTGTGTGGGGGGGGGGGGGAGATGAGAGCAGCAACCACGCTATTTTTGACTGCATTAGAGTATGAGATTTGTGGGAAGAGAGTGGTTGTTCGAGCCTTATCCAAGATAGAAGTGGCAGTGCGTGTGATATGATGGAAAGATGGAGCAACATGGATGCAAAGAAAATGCATATTGCTGCATTTCTTGCGTGGCTGATTTGGTCAGAACGCAACAATTGGGTATTCTCAGGAAGCACAACTCCAAATAATGTTTTGATGGGGCGTTTGAGAAGACTGGTGGATGAATATGGTGCATATGCAAAGAAGATATATGGTGTTGCAAGGCCTTTGCCGAAGCATAGTCCTTCAAAGTGGCTGCCTCCCTTAGATTATGTGATCAAGCTAAATGCAAACACAAGTATGATGGAGGAAGGTTGGGTGGGATTGGGTGTTGTTGCTAGAAACCACAAGGGTGAGGTACTTTTTTCAGTTTGGGAAGAGTGCGTGCTTGGTGGCCAGTTGAGATTGCAGAGGCGAAAGTAATGCACATGGCGGTAAGGCTTGCAGGCAAGTATGGCCTTAAGGAGGTGATGCTTGAGTCGTATTGCGAAACTCTAATGAAACGTCTTTCGAAGGCAGCGATTTACTTCTCTGATTTAGATGGAGTAATTGAGGATATCTTGTTTCTGAGTAGTAAATTCAATTCCTTTGCTTGGTCTCATGTAAAAAGGGGAGGGAATTGGGTAGCTCATCATCTAGCTAGGATGATACCTTTTGGGGCAGAACAAGTACGAATTAACCCTTGTCCATCGAAAATTACTCCCTATATACTCTCGGACGTTTTGTCCTTTGATTAATAGATTTTGCTCGCTGCGTTTCCCTCGTCAGAATAAAAATAAAAAATAAAAAATAAAAAAATAAAAAAAATATAAAAAGTCAAAATGATTCGCTCACAAATTTTCTTTTTTAAAAAATCCCTAACAACTAGAAACATACAAACTATGTTGTTTCTCAGAGAGTAAAATAATGGGATCGCATACATATTAAGAATTGCCAACTACAAATACATTTCAAGCTTGATGAAACACAACACAATCAAAAGCGAGAAGCCGCGAACGAATTAGCAATCCACAATATGTTCTTCCTAATCAATTCGTATTTAGGTAATCTCGTCCCCTTTAGTTTCAAAACTTTTTTGACTGGTTGTTCATCAATTTTACACAATGATTGAAATCGTTTGTATAATTCATGGGCAATTTTGAACCTTTTATGTCAAATTTTTTGTTTCAATTTAGCGTTTCTCTATCCCTTCCAAGTTAGAAGTTTGAATAAGAATACAAAAATCCCAATTCAATTTGCAATCTAGTTTATTATGTCACTCCTTCCAATAGATGTTATCATTGATATTCTGCTAAAATTGCCGGCAAAATCCTTGCTACGCTTTAAGAGTGTGCAAATTATGGTATGATATTATCAATGACCCTAATTTCATTGGATCCCATTTTAAGCTATCCAATAATCTGCATATAGTTTATTGGAACAATGCTTGTAAGTTGAGTGATTTCGACACATTTGATAATACCATTGAACTTGATTACCCTTTTAAGAATCTGGTTGATGTTTATGTCAAGGGATCGTGTCGCGGCTTACTTTGCTTCACCATGTTCTCTTACCCCTTCACGGTTTTCTTGTACAACCCCACTACACAAAAACACAAACCCCTACCATTTTTGTCTCAAAAATCTGTTTTCCGTCACAAGGGGAGTCAGTACCTTGAGTTTGGTTATGATCATGTGTCAGATGACTACAAGTGTGTGAGGATTCTTCTGCATAAATCAGATGATGAAGGGGGTTCTTTCGAAAGTCAAGTTATAGTTTATAGCTTGAGGTCGGATTCCTGGAGGCGGGGGCTCGTGATTTTCCATATTACTTTTATTGCCGCTTTGGTTATTGTGTCTATTTTGAGGGAATTCTGCATTGGTCCATTCACGATTTTATTGTAGTGCCTCTCCATATAGTTAGTTTCAATCTCAATGATGAAAGTTTTAGCTCCTTGCCATTGCCTAACTTCGAGACAGAGCTGTATATGGTTGCTCACATAGGAGTTTCTTGATGATTGTCTGTGTGTAATGCTGAATTATGTTGAATATTGTGATGTATGGACTATGAAAGAGTATAACAGACCCGCAACTTGGACTAAGATGTTTAGTTTTCCGAAACAACAGATGATTGGGGATTTTAGGCCTCTTTCTTTCTCGACGAGCAGAAAGCAATTGTTTTTGACCTATACCTCATATGTTCTTGCTTCTTTGGACATGAAAACTTTGGAGACTACGATAGTTAAACTCTCAGGTTTCCCTAGAGTTTTATGTGCACATTTGTCTCAGGACAACCTTCATATGTTCAAGGATGCTGAAGATGTTCTTGCAAGCAGGCAGCAACGGAAAAAGAACAGCAAACGGCAAAGGTTGATGAGGAGAACAGAGAGGTATGCAAGAATGTAACTATTCGCATTCACTAGATTTTTGCAATACCTTTACTTTACTCTGAACAAAAGATAAAAGGGAACTACACATCTATTGTTTGTAACAAATCTGGCTTTGGTACTTTCATATGTGGGTGGGCCTTGTGGCCATTTGAATCTTGATTCTTATTTAAAGGTCTTTGTGGTCATTAGATGCAAAAAAATGCAATCAACCCTGAAGTTTGGTAGGATCTTTGTGTTTGTAGGATTTCTATCGTATATGAATGTTAGGATCTCTATATGACTTTACGGTCGTTAATTTGACAATCCAATTTTTCAATGTTAAGATGAACATTGATTTAGTCCCATACTCAGTAAAAAATTATATGATGTTTCTAAGCAACTCTTAGTTTATTTTATTTTATTTTATTTACAGCTATGATTGAGTTTAAAGTACTCTTGAACTTTGACTAAGATAATTTTACGAAAGTCTTTTAATTCATTTGTCTACTGCAGGTTCTTACAACACTATGATTCCATCTTAAAATCAGTCATGGGCAATGGCGCTGACCAAAAGTAGGATCTTGATCCTCATGTATATCTACATTCCAATATTAGAGGTACAAATTTAATATTATGGCTTGTTTCCTTCACCATGAATGACTTTAGAGAACTAAAAATATAGTGTATCTAACTTGTTTATTTTTGTTTGTTTTGTTATATATATGGTTTTGTTTAAAAATGAAAATTCTTGTTATTTGTTTGTTTATGTCATACATTAGTTTCAAGGCCTGTCTATCTGACCATGTATTAGAATCCAAAGATGCAATATGGCACTTATAATGCCTCTTTAGTAGTTGTATATCTTCTATTTGGCTCTTGCAACCACAATCACTATTTTGTACAGGATGATGGTTTGCTCAATAAGCTATACACTGTAAGATTCGTAATCACCTTTGGCACAGTTGGTTTATCAATGTCCTGGCAAGAGAATGACATAGTTGAGCAGCACTGTTTCACACTATGAGGTTTTAGGCCAATAGTCTATTGTTGATGAAGTTTTAGGCTGTGCCAACTTTCTGAAGTTGTAGGATGCCAATGATGTATGTGGTAATTGAGGGGGCCAGCCGCCGGGGGGGGGGGGGGGAGGATTGGGGAGGTAAGGGTTTAGGAGAAGAAACATTATTGTTACAATTTTCCTTCTCTTTTGAATGGGAAATCAATGGTCTTAAAATGAACAAAGTATCTATATAATTTTGAAAGATATTGAAGTAATTTAAGAAGGAAAACATATTGATTATCCCTTTTTTAAGCTATTAGAAAGCATTCTTGCCCCTAAGTGTTGGAAATTTATGTTGGTTAGATTGTGGATTGACATCATTTTCTATAGTGGTCTAGTGGAAACATCAATTAATGATGTGACCAATTCTAATGCAGTGAAGGGATTTTAGATGCGATTAGCAGAATTACAAGAAACTATTTCTTAGCATTTAAATATGATCCCTTGCATAAATTAATACGAATCAAGATATTTAAATGTTATACAGTTGATGCGTAATTCCTCTACCAATTTGCTACCTTCTAGTTGGAGATATTAGAATGTCAAATGCTGTTTTTCTAATATTGGTCCACAAGCACCGATGAGATCACCACTTGTATGCTAGTATGGAAGAAAGGAACAATTTTCTATCTTACTTTTCTTGGGTTTGCCTTGTTTGCAGGAAAGCTAAGACTGAATAGACTTTTCTTTTCTTTCTCTAAGTTGTATGTAACAACATATATACGTACTTTATAGGATGTAATTTGGTAGCTTAATGGTGCATTAGACCACCAAATTAATCCTTGTAACTCTCACCATTAACCGGACACCTTTAGTTCTCTTATTGGCTTTTGGTGGGCCTTAATCCAATCAGTCTTTTATGTGTGACCTCATACGATGTGGTTATAATTAGCACTAGGCCCAAATTATTAAGCCATAGATTGTAGTAGGTTTCTAGCAAAACACTATGACCCGTACCGAATAATTATCTCTTTAAGTAGTCCTATACTCCTATTAATTTAATTTGTTATGGTTTAGCTTGATCAAAAGGTATCTCTTTCATGGAGAACATGTTAAATCATAAATTTCAATGCGTACACTGTCATTAACCCATTAGTTGCTAATAATAGGTTTTTAGCACTTATGAATCTTTTTACACCTCTTATGTCTCTATCTATATTTAGTGGCCATAGTTTCTCTTGCAATCTCCTTCCATTTTCAGTATCTATTAACTTAATGTTTCTATTGGCCCTAGACTTTTTGAATGCAGTGATATCCTATTAGTTGCATTCAATAATCTCACTAATTGATCATAGTTAAGAGTACTGAATTGAAGATGACAATACCCTATTCGGTGGACCACGGTTACAAGGCTTGTGAGTCCTCTTTGAGAATCTATGTGAAGTTTGTTACGTCTATAATTATGCGACCTGATTTTTAATTTTTTCACACTCCATCCTCTCTTTGCCTGTTGATTGGCTGACTTAACAAAGGTGATGGAGCTCAATTACCTTTCAAGAAGCCAGCTGAAGTATTTATTTTGATCATGTCATGGTTTTCTGTCTCTGTGATCCAAAATTCCGAATACATAATTGAGAAAAAAACATGATGCTATCAAGCATGTCCACAATCTCCACATTCTACAAGCAATGGTTTTTCAATTGTTATTACGTAGTAAATGATATCTCCTGGATGCTGTAGACTTAGCCTTGTAGGAGCATGTAACACTGACTTCAGCTGCAGGAGCTCAACATTATACTGATTACTCTCCATATGTATGTTAAACTTTTTGGCAAATTATTAGGAAGGGAGTAACTTCAAGAAAAACATGAGAGCTAGTAGCTAGAATAGGAAACATAAGTGGAATTTACTTTATGCTTCTAATCTATCAGATTTTGAAACTATGCCCTTATGTAATTGTTGTAACTTGTTAATTTTTTGGGTTATGTAGATTTTGGAAAAAGAAAATACTACTTCCATTTCATATTATTTGCAACTTTGGAATATTTTATATCTCACAAAAAATACCCCCAAAGTTGCAAAAATATGAAACGGAGGTAGTTGTTTAAATCAACACCGTTGTACAATCTGTAAAGAACATAAATATTTTACATTTATGCTTTTTTTCTTTGTGCTACAGAAATCAAAAGATGACTGGATGATGAAGTTTGGTGTGAATTCTCTCTATCAATGGCTATCTGGATAAGTTACAGCCCCTTCAACATGTATTGCTGCTGCCCGTTTTAATGCGACATTTGAATCTTCTAGTGTTCCTGCTGCCATAAAAAAAACTCCTGAGTTTAGATGAATTTATTAGCTTTTAATTGAATCTGTTTAGTGATGATCTTGTCTCTGTACTAGATGGTGCCCAAAAATGGAACAACGTAATTGTATTTCAAATTTTCCTTTTTCCAGTCCTCGGATTGGTTTTTGTGGGGATGTTTTGCTGTTTCTAGTTACGATTAGACTTCATCTTATTCATTACTGTTAATCGTCGTACTACATGTTGAAGTTATGAATGGAACCCTTGTGAGATAATTTTAAGCTGTCTTTGTCATCTATCACTGTTCCATCAAGTTGTGCCTGCAATCTTTTAAATGAACTTCAAAAGTTTTATCTTCTCATACATTTGAGTATTTGGGAGTGCATGTTTGAACTTTGCTGGCCTTATGGATAAATGCATCAACCTTAGCATTTGACCAAAGTAAAGACAAGCACTAGTAAAAGCTGGGTGATGGTGTTCAATAATTTATTTATCGACGATTGACAATGCTTTTCTTACAAACATTTAAGAGTAACTACTTATGCCGCACACTGTCTAGTGCATACATTATCTATTTACATATCATCATTCTATAAATAATTAACTTTATATTCACATATCAATTTTTATACCAAATACATAGTTTCTCACAAGTTCACAACAATATAGAGATCACGAGTTGTGCTTGTACTTTTGATAAACATCAAAGTAAATGTATTTATATATTTATTCATTCAAACATAATAACGGTGAGTGTGTTTCTTTAAAGACAAAAAATGGTGAGTGTGCATAGGGCATAGAACTTAATCAATAGTAACTTTTGAGATTAAAAAAAAATCGTAAGAGTTTGTGGGGAAAATGGAAATATTTCCTATCATTGCTAACACCAATAGCGGTTATAAGGTAAAATGGTTTTATCTTTTATTACAAAAAAAAAATGGAAAATTCTTTTGGTAACACTCAATTTTCACCTTTTCTGTCCGGTAAAATGTCAAATTCTCATCATTATTGGTAACATTATTATTGTGTTAAATTACTTATAACATTAATGATCATATTTAAGAAACTACCTAATAAAACCATGATTTTGTGAGAAACTACCTAATAAAAAAAATGTTTTAAGAACCTACCTAATAAAAGGTAAAATGTTGTAAAATACTACCTATGGCCTGATTTCCGCCGTTGACCTAATTTTAATTTCCGGCATTGACTCACCTCAAAACACCACCGGAATTATCATCTCGTAGCCCGAAACTACCCTCACTAACTCGGAATATCCCACACCACCTCGAAAATAGTCTTACCACCTTGAAAACGAACCCTTGCGGTGGTTTCAAGGGTGTTTTAAGATGGGTCAACGCCGGAAAGTTTGGTCAATGGAGGAAATCCGGCCATAGGTAGTATTTTACAACATTTTATCTTTTATTAGGTAGTATCTTACAACATTTTTTTATTAAGTAGTTTCTCGCAAAATTTGGGTTTTATTAGGTAGTTTCTCACAAAAAGTCCTTACATTTTTGGTAAAATTGATAAATATAATCCCAACTTTTGCTCGTTCGCTCAAAATAATCCTAACTTTGGATTATTTTTAAATAATCCGAACTTTAAGGGTTATTCACTCAAAATGGTCCTAACCGGTCACCAACCTTTTATAACAGGTTAAGGTGACACGTGTCACCACATGAGCGGTTGAAAAATAAAAAAAAACAACAAAAAAAAAGAAAAATCTTCAACAATTAAAAAAAAAACCCAGTCCCACCCACAACCACTGCCCCCACCACCAGTCGGCGCACAAAATCCCCCACGCCGACGCCCAAACCCTCCTCCTGCGTGCCAGAGCCAGCGCTCCCCTCCCGTACCCCTAAATCACAATACTGACCCGAAACCCCATTATCACACTCCAATCGAAACCAAAAACAAAAGCCCATCCCCACTGCAAAATCCCCCAAACGACCCTCCCCCACCCTCGAAACCCTAGCGAATAGAGTTTCGAGGGTAGGGGATGGCCGATTGTGATGTTTGCGCGGTGGGGCTGGTTTTTTTTAAGGGTTTTGGGTTGTTGATGATGGTGGTTATTGGGTTTAGGGAATTTAGGGGATAAGGGAGGGCAGGGTCGGCGCCAGCACTGGCGCAGGGAGGGGAGGCTGGGCGCAGCGTTTTAGGGCGGATGAGGTATCTGGGCTAGGCGGTAGGAAAAGGCAACCGATGGGGGTGGGGGTTGTCGTGGGTTTTGGCTGATTTTTTGCGTTTTTTTTTGTTTTTTTTAATTTTTAACCCAAAAAAAAAAGAAAAAGAAATTTACTTCTTTAGGTTATCGGTCACTTGGGATCAGTTCGAGCGAATGAACCCTAAAGTTCAGATTATTTAAAAATAATCCAAAGTTGAGATTATTTTTAGCAAACGGGCAAAAGTTGGGATTATTTTTTACCAATTTTCCTAAATTTTTAACTATAATTAGAGAATTTTGATTAATTTTTTAATTATTAAATTATATAATTATATATATAGGGTTGGATCCGATGAGAAATACACTTACGGTAAAAAGCGTGAGAAACTCAAATACATTGAAAACATATTACAAATACATCAAGTAACCTCTTTAGATACATTAAAACATCATTCTAGGTACATGCATCAAGAAAATTACGGCAAATACATCTAAAAATCATTACAAATACATCGCAAATACACTTGGAGTACATCAATTGTAAACCTCATATACAATAAGCTAATGTTGCAATAAAAAAAATTATCAAACATCGATTAATTGCATTGACACCCACTAATCCACTATTTAAGCTTATCTGATGGAAAACTCATTGATTGAGTTGACTCTAATGTATCATTCAATTAGGAATCAAGTTTTAATTAGCATATTGCTATTTGGTAATACAAGGTTGAAAATTTGATTGAATTTAAAATATTGCCAATCATCTTCGTAGTACACCACTGGACAATGATTTGGGCTAGCAAGAGAAGAGAGTAAAGAAGAAAGAAGTTTGAGCTTGATAAATTGGGGCAATTGCAAATCGAAATCCAATAGAATTTACAACGTTAATGGAACTGCCATTAATTGTCAAAGGGATTGTAATCTTGTAGGAGGAGGGAGAAAGTATAATATATTATGTTAATGGGGTTGGGTCAAGGCAGAGAGAGAAATGCAGATGATATAAGAGAGGATGACGGAATTAGTATATGACAGAAGGCAAAACGAAAGGAAAGTAGTGGAATTAAAAAAAAAAAAAAAAAAAAAAAAAAAAAAAAGGTAATTTCACTTTTGCTACCACCAAAACACATGCATCTCACTTTTGCTACCACCAAAACACATGCATCTCACTTTTGCTACCGCTTCAATTTTATTTATTTTTTATTTTGTTACCACCCATAAACACATTGTTAAAATTTACTACCACTTTACAGAATCCGTTTGTATTCCGTTAAGTTTATTAAAAAAAAATGAATAAATAAATAAATTAATTAAAATGTTAAAAAAAAAAAAAACAGCCACCCTCAACTGCCCCCCTCCCCCCTGCCGGCGGCCAGTGCCCAAAGCTTGGGCCAACACCGGCGACCCCACCCCAATCCCTTTCCCCCACCAACGCAACCCACCCCCCTCCCTTATCCCTTTCTCGCTGCCCCAACCCTCACCCCAAAACCGGAAAACAACCCTCCCTCTCCATCCCCCCCCCGGAATCGACCCCCTCCCCTTCCCCCACCCAAAACAGCCACCCCTAACCCGTAAACACCACCCTAAACCACCATAAGCGAAACCCTAAAACCCATTTAGGGTGGTTTCGGGCTGGTGGTTTAAGGTTAGAGGTGCCGGTTTTTGGGTGGGGGAAGGGGAGGGGGGCCGATTCCGGTGGGGGGATGGGGAGGGAGGGTTGTTTTCCGGTTTCGGGGTGGGGGTTGGGCAGCGAGAAAGGGATAAGGGAGAGGGGAAAGGGGTTGGGTTGCGTTGGTGGGGGAAAGGGATTGGGGTGGGGTCGCCGGCGCCGGCCAACGCATTGGGTGTCGGTCGCCGGCAGGGGGAGGGGGTTGGCTGGGCAATTGAAGGTGGTGGGCTGCAAAGGTGGAGGAAAGGGAGGGGGGAGGGTGGCTGGCTCGGTTTTCTTTTTCTTCTTTTTTTAAATTTTACTTTCTTTTTTTTTTTTTAATAAACTTAACAGAATCCTAACCCATTCCGTTAAGTGGTAGCAAATTTTAACAATGTGTTTTTGTGTGGTAGCAAAATAAAAAAAAAAATAAATAAAAATTGGAGGGGTAACAAAAGTAAGATGCATGTGTTTTGGTGGTAGCAAAAGTGAAATTACCCATAAAAAAAATTGATTTTGCTCCTTAAATCATGTCCGTGTAAATTTTGATCTAATGGTTAATAATACTTCTCACACTTCTCATCATAAGATCCCTTCTCACATGAGCCCAAGTGTGTGTGTGTGTGTGTATATATATATATATATATATATATATATATATATATATATATATATATATATATATATATATATATATATATATAAAATTAATTCTTACGTTTTCTTAGCTTCCCATTCCTTCACATTTGCAAGCAGTTTAGATTCCATCTGGTTTTCTTTGTTGAGAAGCATCTGAAGAAGTGCTCGTTGTAACCATAAGGTGTTTCAATCTTTTCATACTCCTTGAAAAAAAAAACACACATACCAAATTTAATTAGGCCATGTTTAACATTATAGAGAAGTTACAAATTTAATAGTTTAAAACCAGAAATATGTACTTACATCTTTTAAACTTCCTAATCCCACACCATTGTTTCCATTATAAACCTTCATGTGCAGCATCAAATAAATTCTAGAGTGGTTGTCTATGTTTGGTTTTTGGAATGGAAGCTCTAGTAACCTGAATTGGCACCTGACATAGCTTCTGCCTTTGGATGTTTTCTGTTCTTGAATAATTTTTGTATTTGAAATACCTACAATATTTAATTTTCATGAGATTACAGCAGTAAAGTAATTATATAGGATTTGCATATTTTTGAAATTTTTCTAATTTACCACTTCTTTGATAAAACTCTTAGTTGGCTCCCAAGAAACCGTGTCCTTATGCCGTGGTGTCCAAGTGATCAATAGTTTCATTGTTGAAAGTTATTACAGCAAGGAAATAATGATCATCCTTCTTTAAGGAAGCAAACACATGCAAATTTCCACAGGAGATTTACTTAAAATCTGTAACTTTAAAGGTACTTTGTTTTACTTTTAACATTTATTTATTTACGTTTTAGAATTTTTGATGCACTTACACACTCAGCAGCGTCCAAG